TAGATTTGTACTAGTCTATTATTTACTTGGTATCGCTTGCCTTCCTCTCCATTAGAAGGTTCTATACATACACTGTTTATTCCCTCTTTTATTGTTCTGATGCTGTTGTCATTTACAGATTAACCTCTCTGGTTCCCTTTTGTAATTCTTTTGGTTTTGCATAGTCCTTAAGAGTTCATTTCCTAGGTTGGTATCTGTAGTACAATCCTGTGTCCTGTATTCAGCCTGTGGTCTGATATTGTTTGTTCTCAGATTAAAGGACTTCCTTTAATAAGTCTTGTATGTTCCGTTCGGTTTTTACATAGTCTCTTAATTTCTGTTCATCTGGAAATGACCTAATTTCACCATCATATTTGAACGAGAGTTTTGAAGGATATATTATCCTTGGCTGGTAATTTTTTTTTCAAGGTTTTATATATGTCATAGGATGTGGAAATTATTGAACAATATCATTAATATCACATGCAAGTAAAATTTTGCTGAAGATCATTCAAAAGTGGTTACAGCAGTACATCAACAGGGAACTGCCAGAAATTCAAGCCCGATTCAGAAGAGGACGTGGAATGAGGGATAGCATTACTGATGTCAGAGAGATCATGGTTGAAAGCAGAGAATACCAGAAAGATGTTTACCAGTGTTTTATTGACTATGCAAAGGCATACGACTGTGTGGATCATAATGAAGTATGTATAATATTGCTAAGAATGGGAATTCCAGAACACTTAATTGTGCTCATGAGGAACCTGTACTTAAACTAAGAGGCAGTCGTTCAGACAGAACAAGGGGATACTGCGTGGTGTAAAGTTAAGAAAGGTGTGTGTCAGGGTTGTATCCTTTCACCATACTTACTCAGTCTTGTCTGCTGAGCAAAATAATCTGAGAAGCTGGACTTCATGAGGAAGAACGGGCATCAGGATTGGAGGAAGACTCACTAACAACCTGCGATATGCAGATGACACAACCTTGCTTGCTGTATGTAACCAGGACTTGACGCACTTAATGATGAAGATCAAAGACTACAGCCTTCAGTATGGATTTTGCCTCAACATAAAGAAAAGGAAAATCCTCACAAGTGGACCAATAAGCAACATCATGATAAATGGAGAAAATATTGAAGTTATCAAAGATTTCACTTTACTTGGATCACAATCAATGCCCAAGGAAGCAGCAGTCAGGAAATCCAATGACACATTGCATTGGGCAAATCTGCTGCAGATCTCTTTAAAATGTTGAAAAGCAAAGATGTCACTTTAAGGACTAAGGTGCACCCAACCCAAGCCATGATGTTTTCAGTTGCCTCATACGCATGTGAGACCTGGACAATGAGTAAGGAAGACCGAAGAAGAATTACCACCTTTGAATTATGATTTTGGCAAAGAGTATTGTATATATCATGAACTGCCAGAAGAACGAACACATCTGCCTTGGAAAAGGACAGGCAGAATGCTCCGTAGAAGTGAGGATGGTGAGACTTTGTCTCACATACTTTGGACATGTTACCAGGAGGGATTAGTCCCTGGAGAAGGACATCATGCTTGGTAAAGTAGAGGATCTGCAAAGAAGAGGAAGACCCTTCAACCCCCACGAGATGGATTGACACAGTGGCTGAACAGTGGGCTCAAACACAGCAACAATTGTGAGGATGACTTAGAACTGGGCAGTGGTTCGTTCTGTTGTACTTATGGTTGCTATGGAGTTGGAATCAACTCCATGGCACTTAAGAATAACAACAATGATGGCATTACCGTTATCCTGTGTAGTTTTCCTGATCCCTTTCTTCTCCTCGTCTGTGAGTCACAGTCCTGGAAGATATCACTTAGGTGAGGCTCTTCTTTCTTGATACCAACACCTTTAACTAGGCACATGTTACCTCACATTGAGTGTGAACGTAACGAATGCATCCAGGCAATCATTGGTATTTGATTAGTGTTCCATTAATGTTAGTTTGTTTTCCCCACAGATCATTAGCTTTCTAATCTTTTTGTTTCTGTTATCTTGTCCTATTAGTGTATATAATAAGGCATTATCAGATGAATTTTCTAAAAAATTGTCTGTTTGAAAAATGTAGCAGTTGATTATATCTTGCCCTATATTTTTAATGTATATACCTTTTAACTCTTTGTGTTCATTTTAACAAGATTGAATGTCATGATAGCAGTGCTTGTCTTTTTTATATCACATTGTATAACATAGTGATAATTGTATAGCAGACATTCAATACTTCTCTGTTTCCAGCTCATGTGTTATTGTTAAATAAGATCAGAATACTGCTAGTAGTTTTAGAAACCAGGGTATGGAGTTGTTTTTTTTGTTTTTTGTTTTTTTTTTAAGACTAATCTTTCCCATAACAAGTAGAAATTTGAGGGGTCTGATTTCTGTGATGCTGATGTTTAATATTTGAGCTCACTGGATTCTACATGGGACTTATCAGCTACATGATCTTTTTTGCCTTCTAGATATGATTTAGATATCTAGATACATAGAGTGCCTCTACCCAGATTACACTTCTAGAATGTTTTCATTTTGATATTTTTTGTGAAGCATTAGTATAATTTGTCCTGAATGACTCTGTGTAATAAAGAAACCTAATATCCCCAAAATGATCCATCTGCTAGCGTCCCCTGTGTGTATAGAGTGCGAGAGTGATGGCCCTCTGCAGTGTGAATTTGCCTGTTCTCTACTGCTTCCTAGTGGTACACCCACAAGTTTGGCAGACTTGTTGCTCCACAGACTATTGATTGGAGCTGCTGATTAGTTTTCTAAGTCAATCAGCTTATATTATTTTCTCTGTATTAAAAAGAAGTGCATCTATTTTGAAGAACAAGGTGTAGTGCAATGAGTCTGCTGTTGAAGGCTGACTAATACCTGAAAATAATAGATTGCTGTTCTTGACATCTTGATGTTAGTCTTCTTGACAGTATTCCTTTCTCATAGGTGGTGTATGATGGACTTTTTGGTGCAAATACAAACTCAAAATTAAGAACATTATCTCTGCAATTTGTGCATCACATTTGTATAACGTAAGTTTTTTGAACTACTTAACTAAAGTTTTCAAGCTGTTGGAGTGATCAAATGATTCAAGTACATCTCTTTACCCATCTTACCTAGAAGGAAATAATGTTTGCTCATCTTAAAAAAATTTTCAGCTTTCACCCGATTATTAACTTGTTTCAAGTATGTTTTCTAATTATATTCAGTAATTATCTAAAAAGATAGGTTCTTCTGAGCTTTTCTTATCTTACGTTATGAATAACTTGTTTGTGTATGTGTGTGTGTGTGTTTTTTTTAAAGGTGTCCAGAAATCAAGATTAAACCGTTGGGTCCAATGCTTTTGAATGGCCTTACCAAACTAATCAATGAATATAAAGAAGTAAGTGACTTGTCTTTGTTGTTTTGTTAACATTCTGTATTTTAAAGTATTTTCTGTAATGAGTTTTCCTGTTCTGCATATTGATGTAGTTTCAAGTTTGCTATTGTTAATCATTTCTTGACATTTCTACCTAAAATGGTGCAAATTTTAGAAATTACTGCCATCTTTTGCTCTTTTTAGAAATAAATGTTAAACACTGATAAGTTTTTGAGGGGTCTTATTTCTTTAAATAACCTTTTTAAAAGCAAGTGCATTTAATGCTATTTTTAGGCACTGTGCAAAGATAGAATTAAAGAAATTATTTAAAATTTATTTTATGATTTATTTCCATTGGGAAACTGTTAATTCTTAGGGGCTGAGATTTCACTGTTTTCAAAATTCTCTGAAAACATGCATTCAGTAAATTTTTGATTACTTAAACTAAGTGGGATGAGAATTCCTTGAATTGTAGATTTTTGAATCCTGTCTTTCCTGACTGTATCTCTCTTGCCATCTCAAGTGTTTTAGGGGAATTGATTAAAAAAAGGTAAGGTTTCAAGAACTCTTAAACCCGTTGCCATGGAGTTGATTCTAACTCATAGTGACCCTATAGGACAGGGTAGAACTGCCCCGTAGAGTTTCCAAGGAGTGGCTGGGGGATTCCAACTGCCGACCTTTTGGTTAGCAGTTGAACGAACGCTTAACCACTGTGCCACCAGGGCTCCTCAAGAACTCTAGCTGGTATTGGTTTTCCTAAGTCTTAGCTAAACAGGAATGCATGTTTGTAATAGTATTGTAATCAAGATTGTGCTGTTTGAGGTTAGCATTGACTTTGAATCCTAGTTTTATTCTTTTGTGAGTAAACTTAAGTTCTTTGGACCTTTATTTCTTATCTGAAAAATGGAAATAATAATGCATATCTCATAGGATTATTGCAAGGATTAACTGAGATAATACCCATAATTTTTTAGCACAGTGAAGACACATTATTAGATACTATTATTAGTGAAAAGTGGTTCATTTATTGTGAAGCTGTGCTTTGTGGATAGTGTTAGGCCAGGTTCTCCTACCTTCTTTCTGCTATTGAATAGTGCTTGTATGGTTTTTAAGGTTTAGGGAACATTTCAGATTATTTTAATGGCATAGATAGATGCTTTGGAGTGGTTGGCAGAAATAAAATGCTTTTGGGTTTTTAGCAAAAAAAAAAAAAAAAAAAAGCCGTATATATAAAAATAGATTAAAGAAACTAAGTAACCACAGGGTCATAGTCCCCTTACCTCCAGATGACACATGCATTTTTTTTCCCAACGCATGAATTCTTAAGAGTGGCCATGTAGGTATGGAAGGGCAAATACTACGTTAAATGTAAAACTTTCAACTGATAGACTTTGTTTCTATGTTCCTGAGTAATAAAGTCAGACTACTGGTTTTCATAAACCCATGTAATTATATCTTGAGGAAGGAACATCACTAACTCATTTGATGACCATGAGCCTTTTTATTTTTTTAAGGTTGAAGTACAAGGACAAGCTGTTTATTGTGGTGCAAATTTTTAGATAATTGCACCGTTAACTTACTGCAATTTTGAGTGAGAGAGGGAGTATCCTAGTCTGTTGGGTCAGTAATATTCTTTCTTTCTTTTTTTTCCTTCATTATGAAAAATTAACAGTGGTTTTTATTATAAGCTAAAATTTTCTTAATTATCTGAAATACATCTTTTTATATTTGCTTTGTTTCAATTACAATCCAATATAAAGAGTCCATTCTTTGTATTTGGTTGTTACATTTCTTAAGTTGCCCTCTCACTCTCTTTTTTAATATAGACAGAGCTGCCCTCTTCCCTTGCTTCTCCATGACATTGCTTTTTATTTTTGGAAGAGATTAAATCAGTTATTTTATAGAATGATCCTCAGCATAGATTGGGCTGATTAATTCTCGTGGTGTTTCATTATCCTTTATATATGTTTAGACAGGATATAAGTTCTTGAAGGCTTGATTCTATTCAGGTACTTTTTTTCTTTGTGACAAGACACTTGATAAGTGATGCTTTGTATTTAGTATTGCATCACATTAGAGGCACATATTGTCTGATAGTCTCTGTAATGCCATGATTGATCCATAGTTTCAGGTAGTGACAGAGTAATTAATTTTCTAGTAGGTTAAACTGTTTTCCTATTATGTGAAAGATGAAATTTGGTGTTTATAGGTTACATAGTGTTGAAAATACCCTGAACTTAGCAACAATTAAGAGCAGGGCTTTGAACTGATTCGAACCGGTTCAGTCAGTGCCGACGAAGTGAAACCAGAACAGACCTGAATTTTTACAGTTTGGGTGATCTGGAACGATACCTGGAACCGGAAAAATTACGAGTTGAAGCCCTGGGATGGGAGACTGGGAAGAGGTGTTTTGAGCCCTTTTAGGAACCTGATACATGAGATTGGATTATTGGCTGCCATCTTTGAGCAGGGCAGTGCTGTTTCCGACTCTCAAAATCCAACAGGCAAGAGATTTTGTAGCTATGCAGTGCATACGCTGCCCTTTTTTCTTTTCTTTTTTGTTTTTTTAGGAGGGCGATTAGCTTTCTAGCAGGGCTTTGACCTGTAATTTTTCACGCTCCGGTTATTGTTTGGGTGCACCAAAATTTAAAAAATTTGGGTCTGTTTGGTTTTGCTTCCTCTGACCCGAGAACAACTGGTTTGAAGCCCTGGTTAAGAGAAACCTCAATTATGACTGCTGCATTTTCTTTTCGTTGTAAGATGGGGATGCCAGGTTTTCTTTTGTATTTCCTTTTAGTAGTGTGATGGATTCTGCGTTTGAACTTTTTTTTTCTTGTTTAGATGCTAATATTGTGTAGCTAGACAGAGATTTATGTTTAATAAGGAGTACAATAATGCATGTAATTGCAGTGAAAAAGTTTTACTGTTTACTGTGTCTTTTGTCTGTTTTTTTGTTTTTCTTTTTGTTTTTTTATTTCAAGGACCCTAAACTACTGTCAATGGCATATTCAGCTGTTGGAAAACTTTCCAGGTGAGTAAACTCTTTTTCAGTGAGCCATTATATTTTAGTGAGAGATACCCTGTTGGTAAGCTAAGAAAAAGTGTGTGGCGTTTAATAAAGAATGAAGAATAAATCTGTTGTGACTCTGAAAGGACATTATTTAATGGCCATAGCTGTTTGGAAATGTCTTCCTTATAGAAGGAAAAAGATGTGAGACATTGAAATTTACATTTGAAAATACGCTACTGTACTCAATGGCAGTGTTGAAATGAGATTTTGAACTGGATTATCTTATAATGAGTCATGTTTTTTTGTACTCTAGAGTAATTTGTTTGATCTTAAGTGTTTCTGTTGCCACTTAGAACTAGTGTTTATAATCCCAATGATCTCGGTTTTTCCAGCAATTCTCTTGTAATGTTTATATTCTGATTCTTAGTGGTCCCATTTCTTTTTTTTCTCCCCAGTTTGTTGGAGTTATTTTAAGATTTTTTTTTTAATTGTACTTTAGATGAAGGTTTACAGAACAAACTAGCTTCTAATTAAACAGTTAGTACATATATTGTTTTATGACATTGGGTAACAATCCCATGACATGTCAATATTCTCCCTTCTCGACCTTGGGTTCCCTATTACCAGCTTTTCTGTTCTCTCCTAGCTTCTAGTCCTTGCCCCTGGGCTGGTGTGCCCCTTTAGTCTCATTTTGTCCTATGGGCCTAATTTTTGGCGAAAAGGTGAACCTCAGGAGTGACTTCATTACTGAGCTTAAAAGGGTGTCCGGGGGCCATACTCTCAGGGTTTCTCCAGTCTCTGTCAGACGAGTAAGTCTGGTCTTTTTTTGAGTTAGAATTTTGTTCTACATTTTTCTCCAGCTCCGTCTGGGACCCTCTATTGTGATCCCTGTTGGAGCAGTTAGTGGTGGTAGCTGGGCACCATCTAGTGGTACTGGACTCAGTCTTGTGGAGGCCATGGTAATTGTGGTCCATTAGCCCTTTGGACTAATCTTTCCCTTGTATCTTTAGTTGTCTTCATTCTCCCTTGCCCCCGAAGGAGTGAGACCAGTGGAGTATCTTAGATGGCTGCTCACAGGCTTTGAAGACCCCAGACGCTGCTCACCAAAGTAGAATGTAGAACATTTTCTTTATAAACTACGTTAAGCCAATTGAGCTAGATGTTCCCTGAGACCATGGTCCTCACAGCCCTCAGCCCAGTAATTTGGTCCGTCAGGGAGTTTGGATCTGTCCCTGGAGCTTTCATGACCTTACTCTGAACAAGTTGTGCTGGCTTCCACAATGTTGTGTACTATGTTACCCTTCACCAAAATTAGTAGTGGTCCCATTTCTAAGGATGGATTTTTTTCTTCTGCTTAGTATGTTCTCCTCATCGTAGTTCTTCCTGGTATCATCTTCTTTGACAGTATTTCAAAGTGTGGAGATAGAGGTGATGCATCCTCAGTGGCACCACATGCGGTCTCTGCCCCCAGCACAGGTTCTGTGGATGCTAGGCCTTGCTCTTCTGTGCTATGCAGGGAATGGAGCTGTAAGGTCTGAGAAAAGAGCCAGTCAGACCAACTACCACAGTGTAGGATTGTCAGCATACTATCCTTGTCTTTTGGCGGGAAGTAACAAAGCCCCTTATCATGGTAGCCTTTAGTTTAACTAGCAATTTGGTCATAATTATTTACTTTATGTTAAAATCAGAAATGTTAACTGAAAGCATGGAATATTATAAAGAGAGAATATCTGGATAATATATATATTAATCAAGGATTACTTGGATTAGAGTGTTAAAGACATTAAACATTTACTTTTAAAAATATTTGGCTCTTGTGCTGACCTTGTGTTCAGAAATGAAAGTGCAAGTTCAGGAAAATTGAGTGTTTAGTTTCATTTTCTCTGTTCTCATCTCATGGAAATTTTTGATAGTTAACAGTGGTCTTATATTCTTTTATAGTCGAATGCCCCATTTATTCACTAAGGACATAGCTCTTGTGCAGCAGCTTTTTGAAGCCCTCTGTAAGGTAGGGAAACAACTATCAAGTTTATGCACTTTGCCCCCTGGAGACCCACTGAGGAGGGAAACACTATCTTTATCTTCTTTATAGGAAGAGCCCGAGACTCGACTTGCCATTCAAGAAGCATTGTCTATGATGGTTGGAGCTTATAGTACTTTGGAAGGAGCACAACGAACTCTCATGGAGGCACTTGTGGCTTCCTACTTAATAAAGGTGGGACCAACTGTGTGAACTATGGTGGCTAGTATTACCACATTTTACATTTTTAAGAACAAAATTTGAATTGCTTTTCTCTTTACCATTTTGATAGTTAAAAGAAATTATTTCCCACTATAGTTTATAGTCTTGTAAAAAATTCTTCAGGATGGAAGTTTGATTTTTGAGGAGTGGCAATATTCACAGTGATGCTTCTACATGAGAAAAACATTTCTTAATGTTATATCTTCCAAGTTGAAAGTGTTTTGTCATCATTGTTGTCTTCTGTCTCTTTTTTTTTTTTTTTGGTAATAATATTTTATTGTGTTTAAGGTGGAAGTTTATGTAGCAAATTAGGTTCCCATTTAACAATTTCTACACAAATTATTCAGTGATATTGGTTACGTTTTTCACAATGTTTCATCAGTCTCGTTCATTCCATTCTGGTTGTACCATTTCCAGTACTCTAATTTTCCTGCCTCCTTCACATCTTCGCTTTAGAGTAATTTTTGACCATTTGGTCTCATACAGATGATTTTTTAAAGGAGCTCATTACTCGTGGGTGATACTCTTTATTTTATGAACCAATGTGTTTTTTAAGTAAAAGGTGACCTCAAGGGATAATTTTGGTTTAAGGTTTAAAGAGTATCTCAAGGCAGTAGTCTTGGAGAGTTCTTTAGTCTCAACTGGTCCACTAAGTCTGGACTTTTTAAGAATTGAGTTCCGTTCCACATTTTTCTCCTGTTTATCAGGATCCATCTATTGTGGCTGTGATCAGAAGAGTTGGTAATGTTAGCTGGGCACTATCAAGTTCTTCTGGTCTCGGTAGATGGGGCCGTAGTTTGCATATACTATTAGTTCTGTAGACTACTCTTCTCTGAGTCTTTGGTTTGCTTCTTTCTCTTTTGCTCCAGATGAGTAGAGATCAGTGGTTGTGTCTTAGATGGCCACTTGCAAGCTGTGAACACCTCAGGCACTACTCACCACATTGGGACGTAGAACATAAGCTTTATGAACTATATTATGCCAGTTAACTGAAATGTTCCATGAGACTATGGTCCTAAGCCTTCAAACCCATGAAACCAATCTCGCGAGGTGTTTAGTTATGTCTAAGAAATACCCATACCTTTGTCCCCTATGAGGTTTAATGTATATATGGATGTACATGCATGCACACACGTACCTGTAGGTACATATGCCTATAGAGACATCTTTCTGTGCACACATACGCACCCACATAGTCATACCCATACATATATGCCTATATACGTATTTCTGTAATCACTCAGCATATTTTTTGGTTGTTATTGTTGCAAAATTATATTTGTCATTACCTGTATCAAAAATGTCCTTTTCTCTTGTGCACTTCTTAGTAATACCATTTACCTTGGTCAAGCTATGTGCACTTCACCCACATTCTGTGCTACCTTTCCCATCACCACAAATAACAAGTGTCTGCTATCTTGAGAGTGCTTCCCCTTCTCTTACCCCCAATCCATGGTAACCACCAATGAGTGTTGGTCTCTGTTTGTATATCTATTCTTATCGTCTATAAAAGTGTAATCATACAATATTTGTCCTTTTGTGATTGACTTATTTCATTCAGCATAATGTCGTTCAGATTCATCAACATTATGTTTCGAGGACCTATCATTATTCTTTATGGTTGTATAGTATTTCATTGTATGTATGTACCACATTTTATTTGTCCATTCATCCCTTGATAGGCACTTAGGTTGTTTACTCTTTTGCTATTGTGAATGATGCTGCAGTGAACATAGGTGTGCATAGTGTTTTGTCTTCTTAAATGGTAGCTGAGCACTAGAGTCCATTAGGGTGGAGTTCTACAGGTAACATTGGAGAAGGAAGGCTATCCATTATGTCAGATTGAATCTGTAGGAAGTATGCTGGTATCATCATACGTACCCTTCTTCCTTCTAGTTCCCTTTATTTGGTAGTCATGAGAGTTTGTAGGAGAATTTTAAATATCTGTAGATACACATATGTATATGCAATATAATATAAAATAATGTGTATTGGCTTTAATCAGTTATTTATGCTCCAGTTTTGGTAGTAGAAAAAGAGAGAGATTAGAAGAGGGAATGATGCTGAATAGTATTAGAGAAATTAATATAAATTGGCTTCCAACTGAAATTTGGTTGCCCTGATTTAATATATTTATATTGAGGGAATTATTAATGGTTCACAGGGGTATTTGGTTTCCATTGAAATATGACAGAATTAATGTATTTTCAGAAAGGTTACTATGTAGAGTCCCGTTGTCAAATGCTGTTGGTGTCCAGTGTGCATGGTCTATGGTCATATAGTTCTGATTATGGCCAACGAAGCTTAGGCTTATTTGGAAGCTCATTAGAATAGAATACTTAACACTTTCTCTGGGTAACCTCACAAGGAAATTTGATACCCTGCTGATCTGAAAAGCACAATAACCTGCTGTGTTAGCCTCTAGGGTATGTGTGTAATGCTTGTGGGTACTAACGGTTACATTCATACAGATCAAATCTTGTAATGATATAACAAGCCAATTTGCTTTTCTCAGACTGTACCCAAACTCTAGGCTAAATCAGATAATTTAGACTGGTCCTTAATGTCATTGCTCTTTAATGCAGCTCAAGGAATGCTAAACAGTAAGAGCACCAGAATGAATGTTTGTGGCTGGAGGAATGACCTTGGGGGAAGGTACATGAGAATAAAGCTTCAGGATCAAGAGATTTTAAAAGTGCTCTTCTGGTTGTACTTTGTATCCATAGATTATCAATCTACTGTTTAAGTTAATTGAATATATTTAGTAGGTGAAACTTCATTTGGGATCAATTTTAACTTTTGAACTAATCTGAAGAAGTTAGAGGTATTTTGCTTAAAACTGAAAAGATTTCAGGTAAGCTCTGTTTGTTTTCCCTGCAAAATACCTGAATTCCACTAGTGTCTGTGACTGAGAGTTTGAGATTTGGTGACGCAGATGGCGGCCACAGGGCCTGGCAGTGGAGAAACTTGAAACTGTCACAGTGACCCTGGTACCAAGGTTTGGGCTTGTACTTTTAAAAGAGATTCTCTAGCTACAGTCTTTTTGGGTCTTCCTGCTTTCCCTGGACCATCCTCTTAGATTGTAAAAGTGCTTTTTAAGTAATGCCACTGTTCGAACAAATTATTTGCCTTGATTTTACTGATTTAGACATATATTTATTGAAATGTCAATTTAAATTTTTGACTTGTTTATAATTATGATGACTGTCTTGACTAAAATAAGTTGCTAATAATTTCTTTTCTTTTGTCTGTATGTTTGTGTGTGTGTGTGTGTGTGTGTGTGTGTGTGTGTATGTCAAATAGCCTGAAGTTCAAGTTCGACAGGTGGCTGTGAAATTTGCAAGCACGGTGTTTCCCTCAGATCATATACCTTCCAGATATTTACTCTTACTAGCTGCAGGAGATCCGTAAGTTTCAAAGTTGCTAATTTGGGTTTGGGTTTATTTTAAATTTATTTGAAGATTACTAAAATTTTTGTTTGCAATGTTGGTCTGTGGAATTTAGAAGCAATTTATTGAATAGTTTAAAGTATGGCTCTAGACATCATATAGACCTGTAGTCAGATACCTACATATTTACATAATAATATAGATATTATATATGCTTGTAGTCAGAATCAACTCAACAATAACAGGTTTGGGTTTTTTTTTTTTTTTGTGTGTATATATATATAACCAAAAAAACCAAAGTTCTTGCTGTCGAGTCAATTCTGACTCATAGCGACAGTATAGGACAGAGCAGAACTGCCCCATGGTGTTTCCAAGCAGCGGCTGGTGGATTTGAACTGCTGACCATTTGGTTAGCAGCCAAGCTGTTAACCACTGCAACACCAGGGCCCCATTATATATATATTTATATAACATATAATGTAAATAAAGCAAATTATATGATTACGTGTAATATAATTATATCTATAAAGCAAGCCTTATGTTAGGAGAAAAAACAATGATGGTTTGATATATATATTAATGATTTATTATGTTGGTGGAGTATCATTTTATTTTGAATATACTAAGATATCTGTAATGAGGTATATGTGTTGAATTTTATGTTAAGTATATTACTGCATTTTCTAGAGTATATGATACATTTTTTAAATGTTTAAATGGCTCTGAAATAGGGCCATGCCTTTAAAAGCCATATGTATATATGAGGTATATATAACCCATTGCTGTCAAGTCAGTTCAGACTCACAGCGACCCTATAGGGCAGAGTAGAACTGCCCCATAGGGTTTCCAAGGAGCAGCTAGTGGATTTGAACTGCTAACCTTTTGGTTAGGAGCCAAACCCTTAACCACTGTGCCACCAGGGCTCCAAGGTAAGAGTTGTTTTAATATGTACGTATATACTTTAAGATATATATAATGAGGTATATATGTACATATTATAACAACTCTTATTAAGTCTATTATGTATTTTACAATTGATGGAATCTTAAAATTTGCAAAGTACTTTAATATATTTTATAATATTAAACCATCCCTGCATTTAATACTTAAAATTTTTATATCTTTTAAATGAGATTCTTATATGTTTTTTCTCTTTTTTGTTATCAGGGATAACCTAACTTTGAAAATTAATTGGGAGGCTCTTCATCCTTTATGCTTAGGAATGGTTTAAATATATATACAGGAATTATGCATCCTTTGATGATTTGAATAGCCTTGCCCGTAAACTTTTATGGTTATGTTTTTAATGGGTAATTCCTTGATAGGAGTTTTCAGTATTCTGAGTGACTCAACTGTATGTCCTTGATGCCATTTATTTATTTATTTTCCTATCAATTTTATACATTTTGCTATGATTTTTTGGGGGTTGGTATTATAAATTGGATATCACAGGTTTTTGCTAGCTCCTGACTTATTTAACTTCTGATCTTGGCTTTCTCTACTCATATAGCCACATTTAGATTTGGTTAAAGTGGCTTTGAATTGCTAATCTTGATTCTGGTGCTCTGCTGCTGTTTTCTATGTGGTTAGGCTCCCAACCACAGGCCAGAGGTCCCAGTGTTCTGCGGTCAAGATGATAGTTCATGCTAGAGCCAGGATTTAAACCCAGCCAATTGGACTTCCAAGCAAAGCTGTTAACCACTGAGCCTTGTCTCTAAGTGCTAAAAATTATTTTTATTTAAAAAAAAAAAAAAAAAAAAAAGACTGATTCATCAGTTTTCCTTCTTCAGTTTAGTTAAAACTTTTCAGACCAAATGAAAATCCTTTGGCAACATAAGGGTTTATCTTTTAAGTCTTTTGAGCTCTTTATCTGTTGTTAGGAAACCTGTAAACACAATTTAGAGGCAACTAAGGACGTAAAAGGACCTTTATATGGTATCTGAATAAGACCATTGCTCAGGTCAACCTCTGGGTAGCCTGAAGTTGGTTGGGTTTCAGATTTTTATACATTAATGTACAGTTACCACTGTACAAAATTGTTGCTTTACATGGAAGTGTAGGAATTTGAGTGGAGTGTGCAGACCATTGGAGAGTTGGTGAATTTTTGGAATTACACATAATACTGTGAAACCTCCGAAAACCGAAACCTGTGTAAGGTGGAAACCTGTCAGAAAAGGAAAACTCAAAATATTTCCCATTAAAACGGGCAGTAGAAAAGTGTTAAAACTGCATTCTGTCAAAGGTGGAAAACTTGCAAGACTTGGAAAAACAAGGCAGTCCCATTGAGTTCCAGCTCTCACAGATTTCACTATAGTTGTTTATGATTTGCCTCTAATAAGAGTAAAACACACGCACAAATATTTATTTAATGAATTGATATAGCCTGTCTTGTCTTTTTTCTGTGGATAAAAATCAAACATGCAAGCCAGAGGACTCTCCAAATCTCATGAAATTTCCAAAAAAAAAGTAATTTCTTAAACAAGTAGTCCCTGACTTACAGTGGAGTTCCGTTCTGAAGACTCCATCGTAAATTGGTTCTGATGTAAGTCAAGTAACTCATTTAGATTAACAAGTGATGCTTCTTACGGTACGGAATGCTGAATAAGATCACACTATAGGCCTGGTCTACAGTGAAGTCGGCATCAGTGTTGCAACAGTGAAGTCGGCATCAGTGTTGCAACAGTGAAGTCAGAGTTACAACGTTGGGCGTGTGCACAGTTCGGTTGTTGTGTGTCGTTACAGTTGACCGTTGCCCAACTTTGTATTCATTATGACTCCCAACACCAACACTGACTTCATTGTAGGCCAGGCCATTGCCAGCTATATGGCATTGTTTTGAACAATAAATCATAAAATTGAACATCTAAGAATGATAACATCAGCAAATTAAGTGCTGCAACAGTGTATGGTAGTGCATACTATTAACGATAAGATGTACAAAGAAAAAAGGATGGTTGTGTGTTTTGTCATAACTCGAATACGTCGTTAAGTCAGGAACTACTTGTATTTTGTTGACTGTTTGCTTAGATAGCTGACAGTATATTTAAGACATTTTCTTAGAACTCCAAATGCTCATCCTCCAATTGGTGAAATTTATTTTATTCTCATTTGTCTTTCTGAAAGGCGAGAAGAAGTTCATGGAGAAGCACAACGAGTATTAAGGTGCTTTCCTGGTAGAAACAAAAAAGAAGGTGCTTTTAAGCAGATGCCTTCTTTCCCAGAAATGGTATATTATATCCAAGAAAAGGTATGGCATTTTACTTAAGATAATTACTTTGAGTTATAAAATGGATGATGAAAATAAAGATAAATGTTTTAAGTGACTCACATTAAAAATCTAATCATTAAGTGAATAGTAGTAAAATTCCTAACAGTATCAATAGTTACAATAAGAGGAAGGTACAAAATGAGAAAAACATAGTTCTCCAGTGTAATAGATCTGTTTTGCCTGAATCTGAATTACTTAAAATCCTCTTCATGCTCTTTAGCATTTTGCCTGTGTTTAACATTCTTTCCCTTGGTAGACATGCTTAAAAATTCATCTCCTTTTTATTTTTAAGGGCTCTACTTAGGTTGCATAACTTTAAGGGTGCCTCAGGAGCAGTGCAGGTTTCTTCCATTGTGATAAGAGAACATTACGCTTTTTGCAGACGTCCTGTTTTTGCAGTGTTCTCTGCTGGTAGATCAGAGAATACTGGTAGAATGACCCCAGCCCTGACCCTGTCCCACTTTTTACGTCAATGTTTCTTTGAGTATGCTGGAGGATACCTTAAACCACCTTCTGCCTCTACTTGTGGTATGGCTTTTGCTAGTTAGAGACGTTAAGGGAGTTGGAGGTTGTTATGTAGTGCTTGTGATTCTCTTCTCTGTAGCACAGGTGTATTTGGAGTCAGAAGATGCTTCTGTGTTCACATTTTCCTCTCACCCCATTATTAATGAACATTACTGGCATGCAGTGGCCTGGGGTGAGTGTGTCAGTAGATGTCTGAAGTTTATTTATTTATTTTTAACCAAGCCAGTAAAGACGTGGGGAAAAAGTCAACACACCAGTAATTGAGGGTTTGAGAGTTTGTGGGACATGTAAGATTGACGTGATTAGTGGGAAAATGTTTTGAAAAGAAAAAAACAGAAGCAAACTTTAGAAAATAATGTAGCTAGATAGTTATTTTTGAGCTGATGAAGCTCCATTTTTCAGTAATTTTGTTTGTTTTGGGCTCATTTTTGTTAGGCTTCCCATCGAATGAAAACTCCAGCCAAGTACATGACTGGGACCACTGTCCTTCCATTTAACCCAGCAGCCTTTGGAGAGGTAGGATGTTAATTTATTTCTATTTTGCTTTCCCTTAAAGCTCTGAAAGATAAAGCTGCACTCAAAGAGATGGCTGTGACTTTTTTGTGATCTAGATAAACCTATATTGCAATGTCATTGTTAGTCACCAAACTGTTTATTTAAAAAAAAAAAAAAAGATATTTGGTATTAATTAATTATTATCAATTAATCATTACCAATTATTGCAAATTGGTATCAGAGTATATAAATATAAGTTTATCTCAGTGAGGCTAATAGATTGTAGTGGAAACGTATTTACCTATAGACAGACAGATAGATCGATCCCATTGTGAAAGAACTGGATGTTCTGTATTGGTTACTTTTGGGATTTTATAGCAAATTAGATTTGAGTTTTTAAAGCCAACATACTGTGGAGGTTATTTGGGTTATCTAGTTTTGAAGGTCCCTAGGTGGTGCAAATGGTTAAGTGCTTAACTACTAACTGAAAGGTTGGCAGTTCAGACCCTCCCAGAGGCACCTCAAAAGTGAGGCCTGGTGATGTGCTTATGAAGGGTCACAGATTTGCAAACCCTGTGGAGTGTAGTTCTACTCTGCACACACGGGATCGCTGTGAGTTAGAATCAGCTCGATGACGGCTAACAACAAGAACAATAACAACAACAAAGTTTTGAAGGTTGGAGAGGAATAATTTATCACAATTACTAAGGGAAATTCTATTTTTTTGGCCATTACTATGTTAATTAAATTACAAGAGGTAATCTTGTTCAGAGTGAGTAACAGTACAGTGAAATGCAGCCTGTCTTACTTTAGGTCTCAAGGAGAGCATTTCCAGAGGCTCCTTAGTAGCTAGTTTATCTCAGAGGTTTTTATGGTGTTGTATCTATTCTCTTGTAGATGATTTGAACCCATTTTCTCAAATTATTATATCAGTGGAGATTAAACACAGCTAGAACTTTCTTCCCCAGGAATAGGTCATTTGCCTGAGGTTTCTGCCCAGGCACTTTTATATATGTTGCTTTTTAAAAATAAAGATTTTTATTGTAATTTTCAGACACTAGAAGTTGAGTTTGCATTTTAACTCCATTAAAAGAAAAAAAAAACACTCTGGGTTTATGAAAGCTTGTTACGTAAATTTTACTCCAGTTTGGTAATATCAGTTAACTTACTGAGTCCTGTTTACTAGATTCTGTGAGAATGGTTGAATAGCTTTGTGAAGGAGGGTGGGGAAATGAAAACTTAGAAACTGTCACCTTGAATAGCCTCCCACATTGACTATTAGAACAGGTTAACTGGTATTCCTCTTCCTTTTGTTTTTAGATAGTTCTGTACTTGCGCATGTGCCTGGCTCACAGCGCAGGAGTGGTGCCCACCTCTCAGAGTTTGGCTGATATGCAAGATCACGCCCCAGCCATTGGACGTTATATACGGACTTTAATGTCAGGGAGCCAGGCAACATCCTCGTCATCTTCTTCCAAGAGTGGGGAGACCAACCCTGTTCAGATCTACATCGGCCTACTTCAGCAGCTGTTAGCAGGTGTTGGAGGTAGGAAGTCTTGAGGTCAAGAAAAGATATTAAAGCACTTAAGCCAAAAAAATCTAATTTTAAACTCATCTGTAAATTTATAGCAAAATTATTCTCTCTTCACTACTGTAACTAAACATTAGTCATTATTTCTTTTCTAAACTTACCTGATTCATCCTTGATTTACTATTTCTCTTTTTAGAAAGAAATGTTAACAATAGATAATAAATTTTTACTTTGGAAATGGGCATGGAGGACAGGACATCCCTTCTTTTTGTAGGTCGGCTACTAACCAAAAGGTTGGCAGTTTGAATCTACCAGCTGTTCCTTGGAAACCCTATGGGGGCAGTTCTGCTCTGTCCCAGAGGGTCCCTATGAGTCGGAATTGATTTGATGGCAGCGGGTTTTAGTGTAAATTTACTGTATTGAATCACATACTGTATTTGGAGTTTGTAATTTTTTGTTGAACTGAGGGAGGACCTCCTAAAGCAGCAGCTCTTATACTTTAAAGGAATTTATTGATCTTTGTATGCTCATTACTTAAAATTTAACAGGATTCTGAATTCTTATTTAGGTTTGCCAGTCATGTACTGTCTGTTGGAAGCTGTTTCAGTGTATCCAGAAAAGCTGGCTACCAAATTTGTAGACAAAACAGAATGGATAAAGGTGTGTCCTGTGCATGTATATTTCTTTTCTTTTTTTAATTTATTTTTTAAAATTTTATTTTGTTATTGAGAATATACATAGCAAAACATATACCATTCAACCGTTTCTACATGTACAGTTCAGTGACATTGATGTATGTGTTTATTTTTTTCAGCAGTTTCTTACCTGTACAATTTAGTGACACTGTTTACATTCTTTGGATTGTGTAACTGTTCTCACTCTTCTTTTCTGAGTTGTCCTCTCACATTCACATAAATTCACTGTGCCCAACTTCCTATCCAGTCTTTCAAGTTGCTGTTGTCAGTTTGATCCCAAACAGATAGTTTATATTTCTCTTTGAGTCTGTATATTTCAAACTTAAATCTCATGATTTCTTTTTTCTACCAGTGTCCCTATGACCTTTTCTGCCTTTAGGCTATCTTAAAAACTGCTTCATCATCAAACACTTCCTGGGAAAAATATATTTCAGTATATTTCATTGGTCCACCTGGGCGGAGTGGGAAATAAATTGAGAGTCATATGAGTAAAAAATAATTGTTTTTCTTCTTTAAAAATTTTTTAAATTATAAATAATAGATATGCATATTTAAAAATATGTCAGATGGCTCGTTTCCATTACTGTCTCCCATCTACCCAAATTCCCCCAGCCTCCTGCCCCCTTTTCTTCCACCTCTGATAAACATACATAAGTTATCACTTATTTATATATGATGTACCTTCTAGAGTTTGCTTGTACATATACACACAAATAAAAATATACATTATTTTTCTCCCTTCTTTTACACAAAAGGCAGCATATTATTCATATTGTTTTGTTACCTTCTTTCTCTTAACAGTGGGACTGGAAACCCTTTCTATATAACTGCAGAAAGAGCATGTTCATTCTTTTAACAGTGTCAGCATTTTCCATTGTACAAATGTACCACGTTTATTCTAGATCCTTACTGATGGTCATTTAGGTTACTTCCAGTCTGCTGTAATGAATAGCCCATCCTTTTATATACAAGAAAGTGCATATTTTAGATGCATTCCCTGGAAGTGGAATTACTGAGTCAGAGGGCATGTGCTTTTGTAATTTTGATAGATAGTGCCACACCCTGCATATGGGTTGTACCAATTTACGTGCCCACCAGTCATTTGTTCTTGTTCCATAGTCACACAAGTAGGGTTGCCTGATTTAGCAAATAAAAATGTAAGATGCTCAGTTAAATTTGAATCTCAGATGAACAGTGAATAATTTTTTAGTACAAATATGGCCTATAAAGTTTTGTATACCTCTTGTGCTGTATAATGCAGTTATTTTGGAAAGCGAAGCTTGAATTATGATAAAATTTGCAGATTGTCTTGTTAAGTTTGAAAGCATGAATGTAATTTTCCAAGAGGTGCATGTTTTGTGCTTTTCTGTAAATTTTTTCTGGTCTTAGAAAATTGTGTCTAGTTTAAAAAGGTTTTTTATTCTGAATATTTGTGGTTTTAAAATGATCTTTTAATTTTTGAGTTTTGATCGTTTAGATCAGGGGTTGACAAACTACATCCCATGGGCTAAAACTGGATTGCCTCCTGTTTTTGTATGGCCTTCGAGCTAAGAATAGTTTTTACATTTTTAAATGATTGGGAAAAAAAAATGAAAAGAAGAACAACATTTCATGTCATGTGAAAATTATAGTGTCTGTATGTAAAGTTTCACTAGAACACAGCCACACCATTCGTTCACACATAGTCTGTGGTTGCTTTCGCATCTCAGTGGCAGAGTTGAGTAGTTGTAACAGAGACCCTGTGGCCCGCAAAGCTTAAAATATTAACTGATCTGGCCCTTTACTGAAAAAATTTACTGACCTCCGTTTTAGAGCACCTGTGTGTTAATTCTACCTGTTTTGTATTTTTGTATCTTTGATGTAAAGACACCCAAGATTTTGGTATATAATTGGACTTCTATTTTGCTCTGAACTAATACTTGTGGTCTTTTCTCATGGATGCCAGTAGATTGAACATTATAATGTATCATTTATTCTTTTAGTTTTAAATGTTAGATGTTATCAGCAGGGAGATGGTTATTATATATATCACGTCACATGTTTTGCAGCAGGAAGATAATGTCATGTATATATTTCTTTTTCTACACCTCTCAGAGTCTGATGAATAGCAGTAAAGAAGAGATGCGTGAACTGGCAGCATTATTTTATTCTGTGGTGGTATCTACGGTGTCGGGAAATGAGTTGAAGTCAATGATAGAGCAGCTTATAAAGACTACAAAAGACAATCATGTATGTTATCAGTTTTGTCTTCATTCTTTCTTGTGGGAGATAGTGGGGTTTTACAAAAATGTCTAACCTATTTTTAGCTTTTGTGTTTGCATTTATAAAGTGAACTTACACATTCCTCACTTTTATATTATTGTAAAGGTTAAATGAGGTAGATAATACATCAGTTCAGTCATTCTAGTCAGCAAATTTGAGTGTCTTCTAGTGTTGGGTATACAGTGGTGAGTAAATACCTGAGAATCCCTAGTACTGCCTGGCGCTCAGAAATGTTAGTTCCTTTTTCACATGCACTACTGCCTATCATTGTGTCTGTCAGAAAATAAGCTGTTGAGATCTAAATCTTCAGGTGAATCAAGAATCAGCTTAACTTCTTGGAATTCTCTGTCTTAGAAGCTCTGGGTTTCCCTTGTTCTCTAAGCCTGGTTCATTAGAATCCAGTGACCACTTTGTTCTTTGGCCTTGTGTTTTACTGGAGAGATGATGATGTAATAAACGTTCTTTCATTGTGTTCTTTTTTTTTTTTTAAAGAACAGCTATTAATGTTTTTATTGTAGATAGAAAATTTGGCTAAAATATGCATTTTCCAAATGTCATTGTGTTTCATTTTTCCAAAACTCCAAGTATAGGCAACAGCATATACCTCCTTTCTGCAGTATTTGTAGTTCATTGTATTCTTGGCGTGCGAGAGAGAGACAGACACATATGTTATTGTGTTGTTAAATTCAGAGCCCAGAGGTACAGCATGGATCCTTGCTTGCATTGGGATTCACAGTGGGAAGATATTTGGCTAAAAAGAAAATGAGAATGGCAGAGCAACAAGACCTGGAGACAAGTGCTAGTTTTCTGCCTGAACAAGAGGAACTCATTCAGAGTGCCACAGAAACAATAGGTAATTCATGACTTCATGCTGACTTGGGTGTTGCAGTTTTAGAGTTACGTTAAAATTTAATATAGCATTTTTATAGCATTGCATTTAAAAACGCAAGATTTTCCTCAAAAGCTTACTTAATGCCAAATGTATTCTGCATTTTTAATAACAGTGAGAGTGCTCAACTTTTTTCTGTACTTTCCCCCTATATGTTTCTGTATAACAGAGATGATTCTGTTATGGAAAAAAAGAATTAAATGTTAAAAGGACACTCCTCTATGCCCTGTGGCCATGGTGTTTTATTGCTGAATAAATGTTAACAAGTTAACAACTAGAAGATATCATAGACTTTGATTTTATTTTGCTGTCTTCAAAAAAATCTTGAGTGCATTGTTGGTGCTTTGAGTCATGCGGGTAGTAGTATGTTATTTTCTGTTTTGTCTGAATGCGTTCATAGGCTCATTTTTGGACAGTACATCGCCCATCCTGGCAATTGCTGCCTGCACAGCCCTGGGTGAAATTGGCAGAAATGGTCCACTCCCAATCCCCAGCGAGGGATCTGGCTTTACCAAATTGCGTCTTGTAGAAAGCTTACTAAATAGAATACCCTCCAGCAAAGAAACAAACAAGGCAAGTCCCTTTCTTTTTTTCTTCCCTTCTAGAATTCTCTCTCTCTATTCGGAGATATGTAAATGAGCGAAACCAAATCATACTGAGGATAGATGGACTGGATAGTTTTGGGATAGGGGTGATTTGTGCACACCTAAGTATGTGTACCGTTTGACGGAGCAATTCCAATTTAGGCCCTATACTGTTTTCTTAATATTAGGATAAGGTATTAAAAACAGCAGGGAATTCTTCTGTCATTCACCATATTAGGTGGATAATAAAGTGTTAAATAGTCTTAAGATTGATTTTGTAATTTCAGACTAAATGTAAATCTTACCTCCTGCAGCTAGATTGGTTTTAAGAAATCTGGGTATTGGTAAGCAGTGTGAGTACTCTGCGAGGGAAAGGACATTTCCAGCTTTTTAGTTTTAGATAAGTGTTTTCATAGACTTTAAAACATTCTTTGTAATTAAGCACCTTAGCCATGAAGCATAAGATGATTTAATTAGCAGAAAAATCATTTACTACAAGTTCAATATCTTATCCTTGGCCTAGCTATTGATTAAAACTGAAAAGATCACACAGTGTAATTTTTATTAGCTATTACTGATTAATCATTACTAACCACTGATGAGTGCTTGTAATGTGCCAAGCAGTATTGTAAGTGCTTAACATACATACGTTAATTGAATCCTCCAAAAAGTCTAATGAAGTAGTTGTTATTTCTGTTTTCCAGTAGAGAAAAGAGAGTCACAGAGAGGTGAAGTAGTAACTTGCCTAAGGTCACACACCTGTAAAGGCTAGTTAAATGGCAGAGCAATGATTTGATCCCAGGCCCCTGGGCCTAGAACCCACATCCCTGACTGTTATGGTTTGAAGGATAACAAGCTTAGTTACAGGCTTACTTTCTTCTTCTGCGACTGTATCCTTAATGGACTCAGTTTTATGGGTTGTTTTTTTTTTAAACCTCCAGTGCCTTAAGGCAGATACTGTAAAATTGCATATTTTTATAAAAGCTTAAGCATTGGTGCACTAGTTAGAAAACACTACCCCTCCTTGCCATTTCATTTTTGGAAACACTGTTCTGGGGTAAAGCTGTTACATACTATGTTGACTGTAAAAATTCTCTGTGTTCTTCCAGATGAAAGAACGAGCAATCCAAACACTGGGGTATTTTCCAGTTGGGGATGGAGAGTTTCCTCATCAGAAACTCCTCTTGCAAGGTCTGATGGATTCTGTGGAGGTATTTATATTGCTATCTGATTGTTAATCATTAAAACAAAAAAGGCATTTTTTTTGTGGAATTTTTGCATGCTGTGAGATTTTAAACTGAACTTTTGCTCGTTTATTCAGCAGGGTACTTACTGTCTCCCCTGGCCTGGTCACTGTCCTAGGCATGGCATTGACTATATTACCTAGGTGTGGAAGTCTGTTTCTTATAAGTTTTGAGTAACACATGGTACAGTATGGCTAGAAGGGGAAACCTACTTTGTCAGGCAGATGTAGGGAATGGGTGCTGGGACTCTAGTGGCTCTTGTGTCTGATCACTTGGCTTCTGTCCTCTAGATGCCCAGTGTAGTGGAAAGGACCTGTAAGTAGACAAGTATGTTAGCACAGCCTGTTTTGGCCCTTGCTTACTCTAGCTTTGATTCGTGTCACTCACGTTTTATACACCAGTCTCTTTGGCCTTTTTTGCTCTGAGTTTTTGAAAGCCCCATACTTCCTTCCTTCTCAGGTTGTTGCTTTCTTGAAAACCCTTCCCTGACCTGAAGACTAGATTAGATTCTTTAGCTGTGTGTGCTCTCATGACTCCCCATACTTTCTCTTCACAGCATCTATCACAGTTTCCAATTGCCCACTAGACTGAAGGCAGAGTCTGTTTTGCTCACCATTATAACAAAGGAGCCTAGCAGTGTGCTTGGCAATGGTAGGACTTCAGTAAATATTGGTGTGCATGTAAGGCAGTGGAATCAAAAAGGACGATGTGATTAATTTTGCCTTGAAGAATTAGTGGAGGTTTTTTGGAGATGTTTTTGCTGGGCCTTGAAGAGTGGGAGAGAGGAGGGTGGGGCTGAGGACTGAGGCAGCTGAGTGATGGAGCTGCTACTAGAATTCAGCTCTTGGGATTCTTTTTTTTTTTTTAATTGTGCTTCAGGTGAAGGCTTACAGAACAAATAGTTTCTCATGAAACGGTAGTACACATATTGTTTTATGACATTGGTTAACAGCCTCACAACATGTCAACCCTCTCCCTTCTCGACCTTTTTTTTTTTGGTGAAAATATACATAGCCAAAGGTATACCATTTCAAAAATTTCTACATGCACAGTTCACTGACATCGACTACGCTCTTCCAATTGTGCTGCTATTCTCACTTTAGATGAAGGCTTACAGAACAAAATAGTTTCTCATTTAACAGTTACTACAAATGTTGCCCTATGACAATGGTTAACAACCTCACAAACACATCAACACTCTCCTTACTCAACCTTGGGTTCCCTATCACCAGCTTTCCTGTCCCCTTCTGCCTTCTGGCCCTTGTCCCTGGACTGCTGTGCCTCATTAGTCCTATTTGGCTTTATGGGGCTGTCCATTCCCCGGCTGAACGGTGAACCTTGGAAATGACTTTGCCACTGAGCTAAAAGGGTGTCTGGGGGCCAGAGTCTCGGGGTTTCTCCAGTCTCCTTTAGGCCAGTAAATCTGGTCGTTTTTTTGTGAGTTAGAATTTTGTTCTACATCCTTCTCCAGCTCTGTCCAGAACCCTCTGTTGTGATCCTGGTCAGAGCAGTCAGTGGTGGTAGCCGGGCACCATCTAGCTATACTGGACTCAGTCTGGTGGAGGCCTTGGTAGCTGTGGTCCATTAGTCCTTTGAACTGATCTTTTCCTTGTATCCTGTTCTCTTCATTCTCCCTTGCTCCCGAAGGAATGAGACCAGTGGAGTATCTTAGATGGCTGCTCACAGGCTTTTAAGACTGGGATTCTTAATTCAGTGTTTTTAAAGTGAAATATTTGACTTTGACTTAAATCCATACCAGGTCCTCACTGGATGTCACTGACATTGTAACCACTTGGGGAAAAGCTTATGATGTCTGCTTTTTCATCTTTTCTCTTTTTTTAAATTCATGAGAGACATGGATTTCTTCTAGTTTTGTTTAAATAAATGAAGGTTTGTCTGGATCCTTGCTATCGAAATCATTGTCTTAAGAGTTTAGAAATATCAAATACATGAAAAGCTGGAAAAACAGTCAACTGGGATAAAGTTCTAAAGTGTTTTTTTTTTAGTTTATTTTAACCTTTTATTATGGAAAATTTCAAACATAAACAAAAGTAGAGAGAATAATAATATAATGACTCCCCATTTGCCTAATCTTATTTTATCTGTTGACCCCTTATTTTTTTCTGGAATATTATAAAGCAAAATCTAGATAGCATATCATCTATAAATGTAAATTATTGTTTTTGTGTTTAATGTCAACTGTGTTATTAACAATAGGAAACGGGTAAAAACAGGCAAGTAAAGTGAATGCTTAATATACGATCTCTGTGTTGAAATAAATACCTTTTCTCAGCTTAGAGTCACCAAGAGAAGCTTTTGACCAGGAAGTTGTGGGACTAAAGAGTGGCACAAAACCTATAAATCTTTTTCCATTGGACTTGGGAGCGTTTCATATTAACACTTGACAGCTCATCAAGACTAGAACACTTAGTAGATTGAACATAGGAATGGCCAAATTTATCTGTGTGTTTTGTAAAATTCTCCAGAAAGATCAGTATTCTCATGTTCCTCATATGTGTTCCACTCTTCATTCTTTTTTTTATTCTTAGATTGTTCTAATCCACAGTAAACAGAAAAATATCAAAGGGAACTATATAGGTCCAATTCAGCATTGGGTCAGTGATTCATACATGAGAAGGGTGTTGAAATTTCTAAATCAAATTGTTAAAAACTTTGAGTATGTACTGTATAGGATTTTTTTAATGTGTAATTTTAGAAACAATTTCAAATTTACAGAGTTTTCAGAATAATATAAAGATGTCCTATATACCGTTTGTCTAGATTTTCCAGTAGTTAACATTTTACCAAATTTGCTTTGTCATTCTCTCTTGATTTTTTTGTTTTCCCCCTAAGCTATTTGAGAGTAACTTGCAGATGTGGAATTTTAGAGGGCAAAGAGGAGATGTTAATAAATTATAATGGCTACTATTTATTGTGCAGTTATGCAAATCAGGCATTACACTATAAACTTTATGTACATTAACTTCATTTAATCCTCACCGCAGCCTGATAGGGTGGTGATGGTGTTATACTCATTTTAAAAATGAAGAAATTGAGGCTCAGAGAAGTTTGAAAAAGAGTACAGGAAGTCCCTGGGTTACAAATGAAATCCGTTCCTAACTGTCTTTAAGTTGAATTTATAAGTAAGTTGGAACAGATGCATATGGTTCTGTTTAGCCTTACTTTAGTGTAAGAGGAGCCCTGGTGGCACAGTGGTTAAGAGCTATAGCTGCTAACCAAAAGCTCAGCAGTTTGACTCCACCAGCTGCTCCTTGGAAACACTATGGGGCAGTTCTGCTCTGTCCTATAGGATTGCTGTAGGGTCACTATGAGTTGAAATTGACTTAAGGACAATGGGTATTTTGATTTGGTTAGTGCAAGAAGGAGCCCTGGTTGGCTGCTATCCAAAGAAAGGTCAGTGGTTTGAACCCACCAGCCACTCTACAGGGGAAAGATGTGGCAGTCTCCTTCCATAAAGATTTATAGCCTTGGAAACCCTATGCAATAGTTCTACTCTGTCCTATAGGGTTGCTATGAGTAGGAATGGACTTGAAGGCAGTGGGTTTGGTTTTTAGTTTTAGTGCAAGAAAAGGCTCAAAGCCTTTTCAGTAATTTAAAAGCTGCACATGCAGCAAGTGAAGGTGATTGAGATGAAGAATTTATTGTGAGTTGGGGTTGGTCAGTCGTTTCGAAGCGAGGGCAAATTTACATAATATTAAAGGGCAAGTACGAGTTGTCTGTAAGTTGGATGTTCATAACTCAGGGACTTACTGTATGTACCCTGGTAAGAGACAGAGCTAGAATTTGAACTGAAATCTGCATGGCTTCAAAGTCCATGCCCTTTCATCCTAAGTGAACAGTATCTTGCTTCCAAAGACTAAATATCACTGCTTAGTGGTTCTCCATTGAGGACGAGGAGTGCAACATGAGCTTGGAGAAATATATTCAAGTTATTATTAAATTCTCTACTTCCTCACTCACCCCTGTAATTGAGGACCACCAAAGTAGCTGAAAGCAACCCAGACAAAGGAATGAAAAACACAGTATTCTCATAAGTAAGACATTAAGCAGACTTTCTGTAGAAATGGATGTTTTGAGGGCATGTTCTTTTTCATTCATGGCTTTTGTTTCCTTTGTTGCAGGCCAAGCAAATAGAACTTCAGTTCACTATAGGTGAAGCCATCACCAGTGCTGCAATAGGAACTAGTTCTGTGGCTGCTCGAGATGCCTGGCTAGTGACTGAAGAAGAATACACTGCCCCCACCGGTACCAAACATTCAGCTAATCAATTTATAATCATCAAGTAACTCTTTTCCATTCTCTTCATCACATTGGAAGCATACACACATGCGTACAATTTTTAACTTTTTCAGATATTTATGTCTGTCTTATCAACTTGGTTCAGTCAAGAAAAATAGTTGATTAAAGGAGATTGACCATGAAATTAGCAAGAGCTTTTTAAATTTCTTTGACAAGCAAACAGGGAGTTAGCTATGGATTTACTTTGCACACGTGCTCTTTAGATGGGGATTGGTGTATTCTCATCTAAAGTTGAGGCATATCTTTCTTTCTTTTTGGTCCAATTACTGGATCACATGTTCTTCCAAGCCTTTAACATATCCCAGTACTTTCTTAGAACTTTTTTTTCTTTGTTTCTGCCAGACGGTTTTCCTGGGTTTCTTCCTTACCCTCTAAATTGTTGGTCTTCTTTATTCCCTAAAATGGTTCTCTCTTCATTCTCTATCGTGATTAATGATGATATCATTTCTACTGAGTTACCCAAACCTAATGAAGACAGAGAAGAGAAAAAGTTCCAGGCTGAGCCTAGGGAGATAATCACAGTTAATGAAAACTGAAAAGAGAGGAGCCTTAAGGGGAAACCAAGAAGGAAAGTTGAGAAGTGTTTGCAGGAGGGCTCAGGTTTTAGATGTAAAGGTGTACTTAATTAGGGGGAAGAGTGGACAGTCTCAGTGTTCAGGGGAGTGGTTATTTTCATTTTCATTTTCATTTTACAAATGATTAAAATATGTTTTGTCTCATCTTTTCCGTCTCAGTTAGTGATAAATCTGCAATGTTGTGTTCTCTAAAATAGTGTTTTCCTAAGATACTTTTGGCAGCTTGATTTTATTTCCTCTGGAAACAAATTTAGTTGTCTACCTGTGAAACTGTTTTTCATTGCCACAGAAGACTAATTTATAAATCAATTTAGGATATATTTATTAAGTGCTTAATATGAGCCAGGCATGGTTCTGGGTGCTGGTGATACAGGAATGACCAAAACAGTAAAAATCTTGCTGTTATGGAGCTTACACTTCAGTGGGAGAGACAGGCCAGAGGCAAAATAAGCATGGGGCAATATGCAGCTTGTTAAATGGTAACAAGTGCTATGTAGAAAAGTAAAGCACAGAAAAGGGAATAGGTCATATTTGGATGGTAGTTATTAATAGAATGCTGAGGGCAGCTCTTCTCAGGAAGGTGATGTTAAAGGAAAGACTTGAATGGGTGAGGGAGTAAGCTGGTTGGAATTCTTGGGGAAGAGTGTTCCAGGCAGAGGCTGAAGCAAGTGCAAAGGCCCTGAGACTTGAGTATGTTTTAGGTCAATTTGGCTGGAGTAGAGTGAGTGAGTAGGGGAGGAGTAAGATGAGGTCATATGAGATGAGGCTGGATTACGTGGAACCTTGTAGGCCATTGTGAGGCCTTCTATAGAAAGCAATTGTAGGATTGTGAGCTGAGGAGAGACACAATCTCACTTCCATTTTAAGAGGGCTGTATTGAAAATAGACTGAACTGGAGCCAGGACAAAAGCAAGGAGATCAGTTAGGGAGACTGCTGCAGTATCCCAGGTGAGACATGGTGGTGGCTTGAACCATGATGATAGCATGGAGATGGTGAGACATGATTGGTTAAAGAGTTTTCAATGCAGTGCCAACAGGATTTGCTATTGAATTGGATGTGAAGTGTGAGAGGAGTCAGGGTTGACTTCAGAGTTTTTGTTGTGAGCAGTTGGAAGAATGGAGTATTGAGATGGAGGAGATTATGGGAGATAAACGGGTTTGTGGAACAAGGGCAGGGTGGGTGCAGGGAAAAAGTTCCTTCATTGTCTGCTTTTCCTCCTCACTCCCATCAGTGTTGGAATCTCCCAACTCCCCCATGCCCATAGCTAGAACCAGTACCCTCGTGGACATATCTAGGAGTCAGTTGAATATATGAGTATGGAGTTTTGAAGAGTTTGTATGTCTCCAAATGTGTGCCCCTCTCCTATTTGTAAGTATGCATCCCAAATACGCGGTCCCTGCTCTCTTGGTGAGTATATATCCCCGCGTGTCACATTGTGTGTTCTCTTATGTTGTAGTTTTAATCCCTGGGGTGTGAGGACTCTGAGTAAATGTTGATTTAAATTGAATTTTTTCAGGAACTACATGGAATTATTTTAATTGTTTCTTATCTTTCTTTTCCCTAGGAGGCAAAGTGAATGATGTGGTCCCATGGGTGTTGGACGTGATTTTAAATAAACATATCATCAGCCCCAACCCACATGTGAGGCAAGCAGCCTGCATCTGGCTACTTTCCCTTGTGAGAAAGCTGAGTACCCATAAAGAAGTGAAGGTAAGCCATGCTGTAAATGTGATTGCACTATTGAAATCCGCTTATGAAGTATTTGTGATAAAAAGACAGTCAGGAAATCATATGAAGTGAGGGCCAGTACTGAGGTGAGGGCCATTAACCAATAGCAGATATTTTGAAATAAGCTGTACATGAAGGAATGAAGGATGGTGGCCTGATATGTATTGGCTGGAAGATGATTGTAAACCTGAAGGCATAAAGTCAGAAGACGTGGTAAGGATGCGAAGGCTCAGATTAGGGAAAGGTCAGATTGGGTGGTGAGATGACTGCCTGTCAGTGGTACAGCCTTCACGTAATTTGAGCCGCCTTTGAAGATATTTTCCCACCTGAGAGCACCAGGGTTTGTCACGGCCTCGGATTGCAAGACTTGATAGGTCTTGTGTATCCTGATAGTAAGATTCTTACTCTTCTAAAGAATTACTATTTCAGTGTTATAATGCCGTTGTTTTTTTCTTTTTTCAGTCTCATCTTAAAGAGATTCAGAGTGCATTTGTTTCAGTTCTGTCAGAAAATGATGGTAAGTGGTTGGTAAATATTTGATTTCTAAACTTTATTAAGCTTACATTTTAAGTTTTGAGAAATCTGTATTAATGAATATCAGAGAAAACTGTTTTTGAGTTATGTGATTAAAATAAAATTAAACCTTATTTATTAGTATTAAGGATGATAAGCGTGTTAATGATTAAAAAACAAAGCTTCTGGTTAGGGTATTGGGAATTCTCTAATTCTTTTTTTTTTTTTTTAATATGATTTTCAGTTTTACATTAAAAAAGGAGCTGAGGCCTTCTTAAAGTTAGTATGTCTACTAAGTAATAGCTTTCTTCTGCTTCTGGTTACTTTTCCTCTTTGTGATTTAAGCCAGGAGAGAGTGAATGTATGTATGTTCGACATTTAAATGGTAACTTTGTTTTAGACTTACATTCTTTTACTGTCCTTTCATTTTTAAAGAGTTGGATGTGAATGTATTGCATTCTGTTGAGGCTGTTTGATCTCTGTGATTTGTACAGCTTACAGTTGATTGCTGTTCTGTCACTGTGCACTGTATACTGACTGTATACTGAGGTCCATCAGTTTATCTTGGCTTGTGAGTTAGATCTTCTGTGAACGTAGTTCTCATTTACAGTGACTTATACGGTATCATGTTCACTGAGATGGCTTAGTACATTTTTAACAAAATAGGCCGATTGATTTTATTTTCTCATCTTTACTTTGATATCATTTTGCATTGACATTATTAAACCTTTTAAAAATTTTGACTTGTTGGCCAATAGACAAAGTTTTCTTAAACTAATATTATTTGTTTTGACTTTTTGGTAGAACTTAGCCAAGATGTTGCCTCAAAAGGCCTTGGGTTGGTTTACGAACTAGGCAATGAACAAGATCAACAGGAACTTGTCTCTATACTTGTAGAAACACTTATGACTGGCAAAAGGTACTGTGAACTTGAAATTTTCAGATTTGAACACATAGGGAAAGTGTATGCACATATTGAGAATATGCTCTGGAAAATTCAACTTTCCATTTTTCTATTTACTACATCTTTTCTAAAGTTCAAATCAGTGATTGTTATGCTGTGGATAGCTGTTTAATTATGCAGTGTATACTGTTCACTTTAGAAACCCGCCAGTAATTAAAACACTGGATTAGAAAAATACCATAATTATTGGAGTCCTGGTGGTGCAGTGGTTAAGACCTCAGCTGCTAACCAAAAGGTCAGCAGTTCAAATCCACCAGCCTCTCCTTGGAAACCCTGTGGGGCAGTTCTACTCTGTCCTGTGAGATTGCTATGAGTTGGAATCGACTCGACAGCAATGTATTTGGTTGTTTGGTTTTAAATGAAAATTAAATGCGGAGAGGAATCTTGCATATCTTCATGATCTGATCACTGAAGAGTATGTGAAGGGGTAATCGTTCTTGTAATTGGTTGCTGCTTTACATCTTTGCCTGTAGGAAGGATAGTTTTTAATGTGACAACGTTTAATTCAGTGTAATTTTATGGGAGAGGGTCTCTTTTAAATCTATTTGTTCATCCTAGTTTTCCTAAATTCCTAGTGTGATAGAAAAGATAAGTTGACTTTTGTATCTTACACACAGTAGACACTTAGATTAAGATTTTGATTTTATCGGTTTGCAGATGAATTGTATTGATTAACTGAATGCTGGTATGAAAAGTTTGATACTAATTTCTTTGTTGTTGTTTTGGTTTAGAGTTAAACATGATGTTTCTGGAGAGACAGTGGTGTTTCAGGGTGGAACCCTTGGCAAAACACCGGATGGGTAAGTATGCCAAATCCATCGGTCAATTACTATAGACATCTTTAAATATTTTACTTTGGTCTGATAAATAGAGCACCCATGAAGTTGATTTCCACCCTCCTAGGAAAAGATGTGTGTTAGTGGAAGAACATAACTTCTGTGGAAAAAGCCTAGTGTCTTAGATTGGGTTTTTTTGGAAATAGTCTCTCACGTGGAGATTCAGATGCTAGAAGTTTATTGGGACTTGCCCTGGGGATCAGTACCTAACGGGGAATGAAGGAAGCAGGGATAGGGTCAGTGGCCAAGGGAGGAGCTGAACTGCGATGCTGCCAACACTTCAGTGGACCCTCATTCCTTAAGGAGCTCTGGAGCTGGGGCGGGATGGCTCTTCAGAGTTGTCCTGCCTTGGGGCATGAGGCCAGACCTTTATATCCGCCCCCAGTGACTAGCCACTGATTGTGAGCTGCTCTGGGGGAGGATGTGACCTTGGACAGAGAGCAGTTCTGGGAGATTGACAGGGCTGAGAACTGTCAGACCCCTGCCAGCTAAGTCCTGGGTTGGGGATCTGGTAGCATAGCTCAGCGTCCACTGCACCTAGTTGTCTGCTGGGGGCAACTCTGCTGACTATTTTGAATCTACCAGTTCAGCATTTCACATTAACTCCTTGAGCTTTACCGCCCCCCCCCCCTTTTTTTTTAATCGTAATTCCACTGTGGTTTATGCTGTTGCTTTCCCTCTAAGAATCCTCATCTTGGTCAGCCTTGCTGTTCTTCCAGTTCTCCCCCAATGGTGTCACTCTGCTCAGAGCCTTGCTTCAGTGTTGTCTGCAACGTTAGAAAGCAGTCACCTTATTTGTTCTCATTGACGTTCTCTCACAGCTCACTGTTCTCACATCGGTCGTTGTTTCCATTCCTCTTACTCTCTCTGTAGACTCCTTCTACAACAATCATTAATGTTAAAATGTTTTTTTTTGTATCTATTCCTGAAAGTAATTCAGTTGCTCAGCTTTAAAACTGGTTTGCTCACTTAAACATCTTTATTTTCCCTTTAAAGTTAACTGAATTTTTGCCACTTCTATTGTTTGAAGTGTTTTTTTCCATAGTTGAGTTTTTAGTGCTCACTTTTCACAAAATAACTAACATCAGATGATGAGGTATTTGAGTAAATATTTGTTCAGAGGAAAGTTAACAGGACTCAAAAGAAGTTGTTATCAGGATTAAGGATTGAAGTGATCTTGTTTAGAAAAGACTTAGGGAAGACAGATGGTGTCTTCAAATGACTTGTGATGATGGGAGAGATTTGTACACAATGTGAGGAAGAAGTTTCTAATAGATCTGCCTCAGGAGGTGGTGAGGGCTCCACCTACCTGGGAGTACAGATAGACATTTTTGAGTCATTTGCCAACAGCAGCCTAAAGGGACTTCAGGCACTGTTGATAATTGAATTAGGTGACTTTTATATTGTTCTTAATCTCATTTTATGTCTTCATGATGATGGGATAACTCAATATTAGAAAATTAGTGAAAATGTCATTTTAAAAACCATGTCCTAGTAATATTGGTGATGTTGTCAATTTGTATCATTAGGCTGTAGACAGAGAAATACATTATTGCATACTTTCTTTTTTTTATCCAAGCCAGGGCATTTCTACTTACAAGGAGCTTTGTTCTCTGGCAAGTGATCTCAGTCAGCCAGATCTGGTGTATAAATTTATGAATTTAGCGAATCACCATGCAATGTGGAACTCTAGGAAGGTAAGTTAGTATCACTAGACAGTTTTTATTTTTTACTTTCCCCCCCAAACCGCGCTACATTGGCGGACTGTGGCAGTTGACACAGAGTGTGTTTTGTAAACGTCTCTGCCTGATTAGAGACAGCCAGACCACTATCCAGCTACTATTGTGGATTAGTAAGGCTGCAACGCCCATTAAATCAGGCTATATTCAGGGGCAAGTTTCGGAGAATTTTGTGATCCTCATATATTTAATGTGTTAATATTTTTCTTTGATAGATGTACCAGAGTCACTTCATCTTATTATTATTTTAGGGTGCTGCTTTTGGTTTTAATATCATTGCTACCAGAGCTGGAGAGCAGCTGGCTCCTTTTCTGCCTCAGCTAGTTCCTCGCCTTTATCGTTACCAGTTTGATCCCAACCTTGGTATTCGACAGGCCATGACAAGTATTTGGAATGCGTTGGTCACTGACAAATCAACGGCAAGTATTTGTGAATCCTTGTGTATTGAGGAGTCTCTGGGTGGTGCAAACAGTTAATTTGCTCAGCTGCTAACCAAAAGGTTGGTGGTTCGCGTCTACCCAGAGGCATCTCAGAAGAAAGGCCTGGTGATCTGTTTCCAAAAAATGAGCCATTGGAAACCCTGTGAAGCACAGTTCTACTCTGAATCGACTCTCTAGCAACTGGTTTCGTGTGTTAAGAAAACACTATCACATAGGAGTGCATGTGTGAGTACATGCATGTATAGGTATATTGGTAGGCATATGTATTTACATGTTTGTGTGTACTGCATATGTATTCATACATTTAATAAAGCACGTAGGGGACAGACTTATGGAGACTTCCTAGATATATCCAACACCTTGAGGGATCGATTTACTGGGTTAAAAGACTTAGGCCCATAGTCTTATAGTGGGACAGCTTAGTTAATTGGCATAACATGGTTCATAAAGATAATGTTCTACATCCTAGTTTGGTGAGTAGCATCTGGGATGTTAAAAACTTGTGAGTGGCCATCTAAGATAGAATTATTGGTTTCTCCTTGTCCGGAACAAAAGAGAATGAAGGATACCAATTAATCAAAGAAGAAACTAGTCCACAGGACTAATAGCCCACACGAACCATGGCCTTATCTAGCCTGAGACCAGAAGAACTAGATGGTGCCTGGCTACCACTATTGGCCGGTCTGACGAGAGACACAATAGAAGGTGCTGGATAGAATGGGAGAAAAATGTAGAACAAAACTCAAATTCCTAAAAAAGTCTAGACTTACTGGCTGAATAGAGACTAGAGGAACCCCTGAGACTATCACCCTATGGTACCCTTTGAACTCGGAATTGAAGCCACTCCTGGAGGTCACCTTTTATCCAAATAATAGATTGGCTTATAAAATAAACAATATCACCTGTGAGTACTGTGCTCCCTTAAGTAATCAACTGTATGAGACCAAACGGTCAACATTTACCCTAAAGTGAGGATGAGAAGGTAAGGAGGGGCAGGGAAGTTAGATTAATGGAAACAGAACAAACAGAATGGAAATAATGAGAATGCTGACACATTGTGAAAAATGTCATGGAACAGTTTGTATAAAAATTGATTAATGGGAGCCTAATTTGTGTAGACTTTCACCTAAAAGACAATAAAATATTATTAAAAACAAAAACACTATCGTTTGTCCAAGGTGACACACAGGATTTAAACCCAGTGCCTATCTCCCTTTCAACTTTTATACTGTTACTTGTTTAAATGAATCTCCCTCCCTCCCTTTCTTCCTTCTTTTCTGGATGCTCATGGCTACATTTATTGAAATCTCAAAAATGGAAACAATCTAAATTTCCATTGGGTGGATGGTTAAGAAAATGGTAGTATATTCACACAAATGTTGATTGGGACTATTGATTTAGTGGAGAACAGTCATAGTTACTGCCCTCACAGACTTCAGTTAGTTGGGAAGACAGATAAGGAATCAGGCAGTTGCCATATATGGTATTCTGTTGTCTGGCTGTTTCTCATATTCTATTCCACTTTTAGATATTAAGATTTCTCAGGGCTTGCCTCAGAGTAATTTTTGCTCTTTCAACTTTCTCTCTTAAGTAGATAAGTTCACTAATTCTGGCGTATTTAAATGTCACTTTTTTTTTTTTTTTTTTCTACAGGTGAAGGCTTACAGAACAAAATAGTTTCTCATTTAACAATTACTACAAATGTTGTCCTATGACAATGGTTAACAATCTCACAACACATCAACAATATCCTTACTCAACCTTGGGTTCCCTATCACCAGCTTCCTTGTCCCCTTCTGCCTTCTGGCCCTTGTCACTGGACTACTGTACCTCATTAGTCTCATTTGGTTTTACGGGGCTGTCCACTCCCAGGCTGAACGTTGAACCTCGGAGATAACTTCACCACTGAGCTAAAGGGTATCTGGGGGCCATAGTCTCGGGGTTTCTCCAGTCTCCTTTAGGCCAGTAAATCTGGTCGTTTTTTTGTGAGTTAGAATTATGTTCTACATCCTTCTCCAGTTCTGTCCAGAACCCTCTGTTGTGATCCTGGTCAGAGCAGTCCGTGGTGGTAGCCGGGCACCATCTAGCTGTACCGGACTCAGTCCGGTAGAGGCCTTGGTAGCTGTGTTCCATTAGTCCTTCGGACTAATCTTTTCCTTGTACCCTGTTCTCTTCATTCTCCCTTGCTCCTGAAGGGATGAGACCAGTGGAGTGTCTTAGATGGCCGCTCAAAGGCTTTTAAGACCCCTTAAATGTCATTTTTATTGTGAAGATTGTCAGTCATGTATTTCTGGCCCAGACACGTCTTGAGCTCCATACTTGCATATTTACTCCTGTTTGACATCTTTGCTTGGATGTTGTTTCAAGATATTTAAACTTTACGGGTCAAAAACTGGACTTAAAGTAACCTTCTCTCCCTCTTTTCCTCATGTCCTCACCATTCACTCATTTATCCAAACCAAATTACTGGATGTCATCCTTGCTTTTTGTCTGTACCTCACCCCTACTCCCAGTTGAATCCATATCGAATTCTGTTTCGAAAGTATTCCATGAAGCTACTCTCTTCTTTCCCTTATTTTTCTTGATGAGCAGGTCATCATTATCGTTCTCCTTTCCGTGTCTTCCTTTAATTCATTATCCACATAGTAGCAGAAGTGGTTTTTAAAATGCAACTGTTTGTGCCATTTTGGGTTAAAATCCTTCAGTGGCTTCACAGTTGATTTAGAGTAAATTCTGTGAGCCTTGCCATGTCTTACAAGGTCCTGCCTATGATATGGTCCTTTCTGCTCTCTTCATTCTGGGAGTGTTCATGGCAGTGGAATACTTCACAGAGTTCAGCTTTGAAGGCTTGGTGAGTTTCATTTGCTCTTGGAGAGCATATGGTACCTCTGATGAGTGGGTTGAGATCTGACAGGCCAGTCTGTTAGAGATCTGAGATCAGGACAAAGGCCTCGGCTAAAGATGTGAGTCATCACTGAGTGGAAGGAGAATCCACAAGTGTGGGTGAGATCACTTAAGGAGAATGTTTAGAAAAGTGGACATAGGAAGAAGTCTGTTAAATCTTAGGTGAATTATTTATCTCTCTGTTTTGGTTTTCTTACATGTAAGTGAGAATAACAAAACCTCTCGTATGTCCAAGAGTAAAAGTGGAAATGCCATAAGTTCTGAGAATCTTTGGATCAGCATAAAAATCAAGGCTTTCGTCAGTTTGTCACTATTACCAAGTTGATAAGTGTATATCAAAACAAAACAGAGGCTTAAAAAATTAAACTCGTCTTTCATTCTGAACAATCATTATTATTTATGTTTCACACACCATGCAGGGTACTGGGGATACAAAGATGAGTGAGACACTGTCCCAGCCCTTGAGTCTCAATGAGGCATACATGTACAGAACAGTGCAGTTATTGTATAGTATGATGTGCTTTAAGAAGGTGCTGTGGGAACACAGAGGAGAGTACCTAAGCCAGTCTTCTCTGAGAAGATGATGCCTGATTTTGAATCTTGAAGGACAAATAGGAGTTAACCAAGCAAATAGGAGGATGGAAAGGAATTAGAGGGAGTAGTATGTGCCAAGGAATAGCGGTGAGGCAGGAAATGACCTTTGGAGTTAGGTGAGTCACAGAGGGCTTTGTATTCATGCCCAAGTGATTGGGCTTTTTTCACGTGTACGGAGGAAAATAAGACAATCAAGCGTGCATTTTAGAGTGGTCACGCTGTCAGCTTTTAGTGATTGAAGTAGGGAGAAATTGTGGACTGAGGGTTTTTTTTAAAGAGACGTTTAGACTACTAAATAACAGAAACATGGTTCATGTGGTTACCAGGTGAATGATTTGATTGTTGGTGGATTTTGCATTTTTAATTTTATCTTTTGCTTTCATTAGGTGGATAAATATTTGAAAGAAATTCTTGAAGATTTGGTTAAGAACCTTACCAGCAATTTGTGGCGGGTTCGAGAATCCAGGTACCGTTTTTGGAAATGTAACTAACACTAGTCAAGTACAATGGACTTTTGTCCCCCAAATTTCCAACTTTTATACTTTGAAAGGAGTAAATTAAAACTACTGGAAAGTATATTTCTGGTTGAATTAGGCAGTGATCTTTAACTATTTAAACTCTGGTTACTGGTTTTCTTAAGTTATCTTAGTTTATGTAAGAATGAAATTGGTAGACATCAAGATCTATTTCTATCCGCTTATGACTTTGTAGGGTAGCAGTGATTCATATACACAGTTTGTATTTATTCACTGCTTGCTATGTGCTTGGCAGTGTGCTAGATCCTAGGGGCTCAATGGTATAATAAAAAATGATGTAACATCTCAAAGGGATTGTATTATAGTTGTGGGAAACAGACATTTGATGAGTGTATGTGGTATATTTGGGGCATCAAGGAGAGAGTAGTCATTGCCATCTTGGGGGTTGGGACTAGAAATAAAAGCAGAACCTATATTCTTGTTTGTTATAAATGTTTCACAGTAGAATATTGAGCTTTCTTGATCAGGTGTTTGAAACTAAATTGTTTATTTTCAGTTGTTTAGCTTTGAATGATTTATTGAGAGGAAGACCCCTAGATGACATCATTGATAAGCTTCCAGAAATTTGGGAAACGCTTTTTAGAGTACAAGATGATATCAAGGTATTATAGAAACAGATCTGTATTTAGTCATAGAATAGCTTAAACTTGAATTCTTAAAGTATGTATGATATATATTTCAAAATTCAATATCCAGACAATTTTATGAGACTACAGTTTCCCCAGACATTTTAGCCTTGATATGCCTGTGAAGTTGCAAGGTTGGATATCTTTAGGTCTACACTGAGTTGACCTAACAAAAAAAGGTGGCTGTAGGCAGACTTTCTCTCATTAGAGATCTCATGATGCTGTTGGGTTACGGACAAGTGTGTTTTGAAATAATCCAGGAAAACTCTACTTTGATCAGTTTCATAAATTGGACCAGTCATTATCAAATCACGTGACCATTCCCTCAGAATTTTTCCTGGACATTCTAAATTTTAGGTATTTTGATATCTTATTATTAAAATTAGGCACATCCATTTTGCTTTTTGCTTTATTCATTAGAGATTTTAAAATCTTTCAGAATCTCACATGGATCTTTACATGTTTGCTTTTATAATACCCATAGTTTCTGTAATGTTATCCTTCATAGCTGAGTTTTTATAAGGTCAAAATATGCCCTATAATTTTAAAAAGTAATTTGGCATTGTAAAATATGTTCCTTGATGGGCAAAGAGCTTAATGAAACACTATTTTTTACCGTTTATGAAAGTAGGATTTTTACTAAGATGTGTAGAGGATGAGGCAGTTTAGTGCACATCGTGGGATGGATCAGAATGAAACTCTCTAACCTATGTGATGCCATGCTTTTCTTATTCCTAGGAATCTGTACGAAAAGCGGCAGAACTAGCTCTGAAAACCTTGAGCAAGGTGAAAACTCCGATCTTACGTTGGGGGTAGGGTGGGGCAGGGTTTTGTGTGACCACAAAAGAATCAATAGTGGTTTATTTTTTGTCTTATAAAATGACATTTATTTACAGTGTAATTAATTTCATGTCGCAGTTCACTGTGAGAAAGTGGGTGCTATTAGAATACTACTATTTTTATAACCAACAAATAGTAGTTTAACTGGTCTCTTTAAATGGTGAGCTACTCTGGGCCTTTTGTGAGGGATGATTTGCACTTGACCCTGCAGCGTCTAGCAGCATCTATTTTCTTTCATTCTAATATTATGTTTATATGTTAAGCTACCTTTCATATTTTATGAGGTTGGTAAGTTTTTTGAAACTAAGTAGTCTCCCACTTGGACCTGATTTTACTGTGATATATCAGGGACTTCTTTCTAGCTAGGCAAACCTTGCCATAAGTCGCATTGTTAGTAGTAATGCCAGATTTTTTTTTAAAATTGTGCTTTAAATGAAAGTTTACAGTTCAGGTTAGTCTCTCATATAAAAATTTACACACACACTGCTATGTGACTCTTGTTGGTCTCCCTATACTGTGACAGCACACTCCTTCTTTCCACCCCAGATTTCCTGTGTCCATTCAGCCAGCTCCTGTCCCTTTCTGCCTTCTCATCTCGCCTCGAGACAGGAGCTGCCCGTTTAGACTCTTATATTTACTTGAGCTAAGAAGCACACTCTTCATGAGTATCATTTATGTCTTATAGTTCAGTCTAATCTTTGTCTGAAGAGTTGGCTTCAGGAATGGTCTTAATTTTGGGCTAACAGAGGGTCCGGGGACCCTGTCCTCTGAGGTCCCTCCAGTCTAGTCAGACCATTAAGTCTGGTCTTTTTACTAGAATTTGAGTTCTGCACCCTACTTTTCTCCTGCTCTGTCAGGGACTCTGTTGTGTTCCCTGTTGGGGCAGTCATTGGTGGTAGCTGGGCACCATCTAGCTCTTCTGGTCGCAGGCTGATGGAGTCTCTGGTTTATGTGTAAAGCCAGATCTAAAATCCAGGTGTTTCTGATATGTGCTGCCACCCAAAATTATCGAGATACCTTAAGCCTTCAGTTTGAACCCCTACTGAGAATTTGCATTTCTAACAAGTTCCCTCGTGATGCTGTTGCTGCTGGTTAGACACCAGTTCTGAGAACCACTAGTGAGCAGAGGTTCTCAAAACTTATTATACGTAAGAATCACATGAGGAGCTTGTTAAAATATAGATTCTGATTCAGTATATCTGGGGTGGGAATGCAAATTCTTGGCAGGGATTCAAACCAGAATGAACTGGTTTGAAGCCCTGTTTCAAAGTACTTTCGTATATACACTTTTCATTTTATCTTCAACCATTTTGTTCCCTGTTTCACAAATTAGAAGATCAAAATTTTAGCAAATTTTCCATTTAGTTACTGGCCAACCTAGGCTCAATCCCAGATCTCATTTCTGTGTCTACCCCTGTAGTTATCACAGAAAGTAGATTTACTTACTGTGTTCTGTGGATGTGAGAAGTAGAAAGTATTTTGTCAGATAAGTACTTTATTGGGTGAGAGGTCAGTTTCACTAATCTCCATGCTCTTTGTATGTGAGGTTTGTGTGAAAATGTGTGACCCTGCCAAAGGAGCCACTGGCCAGAGGACTATTGCTGTCCTTCTGCCTTGCCTTCTGGACAAAGGAATGATGAGCCCTGTGACAGAAGTTCGAGCCCTCAGGTGTGTATCAGTTGATGAAATGAATGTACTGGGTTTACTTAGTTCCTAACTGTTCAGGAGAAATTGGATTTCTTTGAGTGTTAGATTCTTCGAAGTATGGAGAAAAGTCGAGGAGAAATCACTAAAGCATCCAAGAGCATTTGTGAGAAGTTGTGAGTCAGAGCCATTTTGCAGAAACATTTTCATGGGAACCTTGCCTTCCAGTATCCTCTGCCTCCAGCAAGCGTATCTTCCCATTGTGGTACAAGTCCTTTGAGCTTGCTTAGTAGTAATTTACAGACTTTAAATAAAATGCTTACAAGCTGCAGCATTGAAATATTCAAGAAATCCATTCACATGTGTAGATATATGGCTGTTTTAAGTTGGAATCAACCATGAAGGATTCTAGGTTGTATGTGTGTGTTTTTAAACTTGGGTGTTATCTAGAAACTTTATCTGTTCCATTACGACTTCACTCTTAAAGCTAGATCATGTTAATAGTATCAAGACTATTTCATGATAACTAAATGGTTAATGACCCTATGGGGCAGTTCTACTCTGTCCTATAGGGTTGCTATGAGTCAGAATCGACTTGATGGCAACAGGTTTTTTTTAAAATTGTTGGTGAGGGTAAGTTTTTTTTAGAAGGATTCATCTAATACTGCAAAGGAATGATAAAATTAGGATATCATTGTTTTGCTAACTTAAGTAAAATAACATAGGCAATGGTCATCTGTGGCTCTTAAATCCACTGGGTGAAAGGCTGATGGGGAACTTTATAATGGATGGTTCAGGCCAAGAAAACATCAGCCCATTGATCACTATTAACAGCACAAAAAGACAATCAAATATCGATTGCATCCTGATGTGATGGAGTAGTACACACAATACCACCTATTCTGTCTTTTTTTTAAATTGAACCTGGGACCAGTCAAGTCTGTAGATCTGTACAGGGGACAGAGGAACATGTTAAATGACACCATTAGAATGCAATTAGTGAGGACAAATAAATGACAAGAAAGAGAGTGGTAGAGGACTATTACAGATTGAAAAAGAATTAAGAACGCAGCAAATAGCAATATGTGGGTGGATTCTGGATCCTAATTCAGACAAACCAACTATTAAAGACATTATTGAAACCATCATAAATTTGAATATTAGATGATAGGAGAAGTTATTGATTTTTTTAGGTGTGAAAATGGTATTATGAGCATGATACAGTCCTTATCTCTTAGAGCTGCATGAAGACGGTTAGTTACAGAATATGCTTTGAATTAATACAGTGGCAGGGGAAGAAAAGTGTATCCCTGTGTGCGTATAGAGGAGTTATGGATGAAACAAACTTGGCCAAATGTTGCTGATTGTTGAACTAGCTGGAGGGTATACGGAAGTTTATTTATGATTCTCTCTACTTTCATATATGTTTGAAAATTTATTTAGTGTAAAATTAAAAAAAAAAGCCAAGATCAGGTTCTGTAACCATGTGAGTGTATGCCTGAATGCAATAACTGTAGAACATCATCATGATTGGACTTGGAGGACTTCCTCCTTTTGTCAAAAGGACTCAAGAGTTGTTTTCTTTGTGTCTGTAGCATTAACACGCTTGTGAAGATCAGCAAAAGTGCAGGAGCCATGTTGAAACCTCATGCACCAAAACTTATCCCAGCACTACTGGAGTCCTTAAGTGTATTGGAACCCCAAGTTCTCAATTATTTGAGTCTTCGGGCTACAGACCAAGAAAAGGTGAGTTGACAGCTCAGGCATAGTGGTAAGTATCATGAAGGAGGGAGAGCCTTGTTAAGCTACTGAGGTCCATCTGAATAATCTTTCCAGTATCCTTATAGGTTTCTGTAGCATGTTTACTAAGCTGAGCATTAGGAAACATAAATGCTAGTCCATGCTCTGCAGGCTCAGGCAAGTCACTTCTGTATGTCTTACTTTTCTCATTTATTATGTCTGGATAGTGTTAGCCTCTCCTGCAGAGTAGTTGTAAGACTAAAATACCATTGGAGATATGAAGGCCCTTCAAAAAGTTAAAGCATTAAATGTATACAATTTTTATTGCTTAGATACAGTTTTTAAAAGACCTTAAAAAAAGACCCAAGCCCATTGCTGTTGAGTTGATTCCGACTCATAGCAACCCTATAGGACAGAGTAGAACTGCCCCATAGGGTTTCCGAGGAGCAGCTGGTGGTTTCGAACTGCCAGCCTTCTGGTTAGCAGCAGAGTGGTTAACTACTCTGCCACCAGGGCCCCCCGCAAAAGACCTTAGATAGAAGTTTATTTAGTCTATTCCTTTATTTAGTGGATGGAGAACCAGGGGCCCATAGAGGTTGGATGACTTGCCTAAAGCCATGCTGTGTTAGTTTCCAATTCAGCTAATTTCTATTATCTGAATTTCTCACCTGCAATGAGATGCTATCTCCCCTGATTAATTGTTGAGTGAAGGTCAGAAGAAATTAGATCTGGACTTATGTTTGATTTTGTTATATCTCCATATTATTTTTTTAAAAAAAAGTTCTTCAGTTTGGAAGTAAAGCACTTTTATGGAGTTATTTGTTGGGGCTGTTATTCCTAATTTAGTGAATGTCCTGAGTGACTTGAATTTGTGTTCTTCAGGCTGCAATGGATAGTGCTCGGCTCAGTGCTGCCAAATCCTCTCCCATGATGGAAACAATCAACATGGTGAGTGTCTAAACATAATGGGAAAGTTGAAGTTTGTTTGCTTACCCTGAAGTGTAATTCTTCAAAGTCCTCAGGCTACATTAATGAAGTACAGATTTAAGGGAAGAGTCAAGTAACCATTGATGCTTCAGTTTTTTCTTAATATAGTTCTTTCTTATTCAGTATTACTAAATGGAAGTAATTTTCCAAGTAGTAAAATCCATTAGCCCAGATTTGTGTTACTAAGGAGAATAACATATTAATAGATCTCCCTATAAATCTGTGTCTGTCGTTCTGTCTGCCTGTTTAGAGAGTCTCAGACTTTTGCCTCTGCCTGAGAGTTGTCTGTTGGTAGAACTAGGTCTGGGGGTATTCAGTGAAGTAGGCAGCATAACAGGTAGGTGCAGAGAATTGAATAATGTTGATATGTTGTTTCAGTCATAGGAAGGAATTTGCAGTAAAGAGCTGCTTGGCACTAAAGTTCTAACTTCTAAAGATTTTGGAGCCCTGGCTTAGGAGTCGTTAAAACTGACTTTGCTGCATACACCCTGCGGTGGTTAACTGAGAACTTATGAACTCCTGGAAATTGTTTTGCTAAGCAGGTCAGGGCTGGACAAGAGAAGTAGATATCTTTTAGTGCTTACTGAGTGAAAATTACCAAAATTTGGTCTGAGGATGCTGTATCTTGGTTGGATTATTGGGAGGAAAAGCTTAAATATGAACCAGTAGAGAACACCATATGGAGATATGCTCCCTAATAATAGAATACATGCCATTGCATTTTCAAAAATATAGTCAGCATATTACAGGGGAATTCAACTAAAAAAGTTGACATTTAGAGGTGGTTTGGTAGGATAAGCCCACAGAAAAAGGTCAATTTTAACTTAGGTCTTATATAGTAAACATGAATTGATAAAGAGGAAGTGGGCTAAGGGAGGTCCTTTGTTCTTGGGTAGTAATGATTCATTTTCTCCATTAGTAAACGCATAGTTTTCATTATTTTTGTTTTTAATGTTCAAGTGGACGATTTTTTTTTAAAATAATATAATGGTGGGTTTAACATTGAAATCAGAGGAAAATCAAACCAGTGTGTTTCAACTTTATGTCGTATCTACCAAAACCAAACCAAAACCTGTTGCCGTCGAGTCGATTCCGACTCATAGCGACGTTATAGGATGGAGTAGAATTGCCTCATAGGGTTTCCAAGGTGTGGCTGGTGGATTCCAACTTTGACCTTTCAGTTAGCAGCCATAGCTCTTAACCATTGCTCCACCAGGGCTCCATGTCAAATCTAGTGGGTACATTCTTGACATGGGCAATTTTAATTGAAAATGTGGTTCTGACTTGATATCTTTCTCAGGTTTACCTTTATATTTATTCTTATCCACCAGTGCCTGCAATATCTTGATGTTTCAGTGCTGGGTGAGCTAGTTCCTAGGTTATGTGAGCTGATCAGAAGTGGTGTAGGTCTAGGAACTAAGGTAAGTAGGTGTATTTTTCATAAAATAAAGAGTGCATCTTCATTAGTTTTCCACAAAAAATATAAGTCATCATGTTTGAAGTTTATACTTTTCCTCATAACCTAATATTATTATTTTACTTTAACCATTTATTTTTATGGTTGCACTAATAACTTAAAACATTAACGCATTCAGGAAATAAAACATGTCACTTGCTCAGTGAATATGGTTTTGCTTTTTCATTGGAATTGTTTCTGTTCTCTAGTTGCTGTGTGTGTTCTCTGGGTCTTTGTTCATTATCAGTTAATGAAAGTACTCATCCAGGACAAGGTTTTTCTAGGTGGTAATTAGTGTTTTTCACACAGGGATCAGCAGGTGTTTAGATAAAAAAAAAAAAGTCTTTCTCTGCAAGTTCTTTCAACAATCAGACACTTTTCCCCTTTTTTTCTTAAAATTTTTTTTTTGATTTTATTGTCCCCCCTTCTTTTTAAAACAAATAGCTCACATTTTTTCTTATTATAAAATTAGCCTTTGCTTATATTTAGAATTTTTAGCATTTATAGATCAGAGGAAAGTTAAAAAATAGTAATTGCCCATAATTTTACCACCCAGAGATAATTACTGTTAATACTTTGGAATGTTCGTCTAGTCTCTTTTCTATGCATGTCCTTCTACAGTGGCTGTATGATATTTTATTGTATGGATGTAACATAATTTATTTTAGTCCATCAGTGAACATCCAGTTTATTTCCAGTTTTTTGATATTAGATAGAGCACTGTGATGAATATCTTTGGACACTTCTGAAGCTATTTTCTTTGGGTAAATGTCTAGAAATGGAAATGTTTGAACAAGGATGGACAGGATAACATAACATGCGTTGCTCTCCCGAGAGACTGTACTGGTTTTCTTTCTTTCTTGCAGTGTGTGAGGGTATCCATCTTTTTACTGGATGTCTTGGGGGGAAAAAAAAGAATCTTTGTATTGCTAATTTAAAGTAAGGGTTTTCCTCTTTCTAGATTGAATCCTGGAGGAACTGTTAGGCTTCACGTATTTCTTATCTTTAAATCTTTGGCACCTAAAGTAGGGGGTTTGATAGAACATTGTGACCATCAAATTTAGACCTTTGCCTTTGTAACCCTGTAGGGAGGCTGTGCCAGTGTCATTGTGTCACTAACTACTCAGTGTCCTCAGGACCTAACACCTTACTCAGGTGAGTTTGTCAGAACTATGTGTGGTGATGGTTTTGCATGACCATGTCTTGTGTGATAAGGTTTGTGCGTGCGTGCGTGCGTGTGTGTGTGTGTGTGTGTGTGTGTGTGCGTGGAGAGAGAGAAGGTTTTAAAAGGAAAAATAATTACTGTTCAGACGCGCTTGTGGTGCTGTGTGTTCATCCCCTCCCCCATGTCTCTGTTTGCAAGAGGTGCAGGGGTTATCAAATTGAACCAGTTTTCACTGTTTTATAAATGTTTGATTATTTCTTAGTGTTGTAAGGAGGTGAATGTATCTGCCAGCTTGTAGAATCCATTTACCATTTATAACTAATTTTACATCAGCATTTTTCTCTTCTTAGGTCAGTTCCTGAATGGGGCTAATGAACTTTACATAACTAGCTCTCATTTTGTTCCTTTCCTCGTAATTTTCTGGAAATAGATTAATTTTCCGTTCTATATGGAAGCAAAAGGATACCATAAAGATAACATTCAAGGGACCTAAACTACTGTGGAGTAAATCAGATATTAATTACATGGTTATGTTTGCTTTGGTCCTGGAACAGAGCAGAACATTTGGTCAACCAACTATCAGATATTTTTCTTTATTTCTGGTAGGTAAACTTATGAGTGCTTTGCTTAGTGGCCTGACAGATAAGAACAATGTGATTCAGAAATCCTGTGCATTTGCCATGGGCCATTTAGTTCGGGTGAGTTGAATTTCTTACTTGGTTAAGTAAAACTCTTTGTCAATTATAAAGTGATTACTAGAATTGTTTCTTTTTCAGACCTCACGGGATAGCAGCACTGAAAAACTCCTGCAGAAGCTCAGTGGCTGGTATATGGAGAAAGAAGGTACTTCGCCCCTATTTTGTGTTATTTTTAATTTAGATGTTAGACAATCTGTAAAACAATACAATTCAGGTTGGACCCTGTCTTAGGTTAGGTCTTCTGGAGGAGCAAAACCAGTGAAGGCTATATATAAATACACATAGAGAGATTTATTTTAAAAAAAATGGCTCATGCAGTCGTGGGGGCTGACAAGTCCCAAATCTGTGGGTTAGACAGCAGGCTGAAGGTTTCTTCTGGCTCACATGGTTGCAGAGGCTGACGAACCCAAAATCTGCAGTTCAGGTGGCAGACTGAAGCTTCTCATGTCCCAAGAACTGGGGGTCAGGTGACAAGAAGAGTGCAGGATGGATCCAGAGAGCGAGCTTTGCTAGAAAATCCATTTATATACTGGAGGCAGGCCTCACTCCCAAGGAAACTCCCATTTCAACTGATTGGCTGCTCATATCAGATCACAAAATGGAAGATGATTACATAGTATCTGCCAACCGCTGAGAATCATAGCTTAGCCAAGTGGACACACAGCATTAACTGTCACATACCCTCTATGATTTTATGTGCTCTGATTTCTGATGGATATTACTAATTTAGTTATTTTCTGTGGTGCAAGTTGAATAATTGTCTATTTAGATCATTTTTCCTTAAAAACAGTAAATTTCATATGGATTTTGATTTCTTATGCTTCTCTTCAGAACCCATCTACAAGACCTCTTGTGCTTTGACTATTCATGCTATTGGACGATACAGTCCTGATGTATTGAAGAACCATGCCAAAGAAGTTCTGCCTTTGGCATTTCTAGGCATGCATGAAATTGCTGATGAGGAGAAATCAGAAAAAGAAGAATGTAACTTATGGACTGAAGTGTGGCAGGAAAATGTACCTGGTTAGTAAACAGTGCCCATGAATTAAGCGTGTTTCTTAAGAACCACAGCTGGAATTTCTTACATTCTTTATTCAAGGGCAGTGGTGGTTCAGTGGTAGAATTCTCAGCTTACATACAGGAGACCCAGGTTCAATTCCTGGCCAGTACACCTCTAATGCAGCTACCACTCGTCTGTCAGTGGAGGCTTATGTGCTGCTGTGATGCTGAACAGGTTTCAGCAGAGCCTCCAGACTAAAGACAGACAGGAAGAAAGGCCTGGTGATCTCCTTCTGAAAATCAGCCAGCGAAAACCCTTTGGATCACAACAGCCCAATCCCATTGTGTGTGGGGTTACCATGAGTTGGGAGCTGACTGCACAGCAGCTAACACCAACACCAACATTCTTTATTCACAAGCTCCTGTAGTTACTTTCCCAGGGCCTTAACAACACACATCCCATTTAGTTTTAGGCCTCTCCAAATTACTGAGTGCTCAAGGTTGGCACTCAGAGCTCTCCTCTTTACTACATCATTGCTGCCCATGTGAGAGGATAGAAACACTGCTCAAAGTAGAACTTTACTTTTAGTTGAGTGTGTAACAGTGGATTTATGTTGCCTTAGAAAATTATCTTAAGAGTAGTGGTTCTCAGCTTGATGGATGACAACCATTTGTATAACATCCTCCTGTGGATATATCCATTTTCCTAAAGCCCTGCTGTTGTAAAGATAAGCCACAACACCATCCCCTTTCTCTTCCTTTGAGGGAGTGCTGGGATGTAACAGTTAAGAGTCACTGCTTTAGACTGATAGTTACTTAGAAAGGAAGAAATAGCTAACTTTTTTTTTAGTCCCTTGAAAGTTGTTTTAATTTTGCTTTTCCTAACCCAGGTTCCTTTGGTGGCATTCGATTATACCTGCAAGAGTTGATTACCATTACCCAGAAGGCTTTGCAGTCTCAGTCCTGGAAAATGAAAGCCCAGGGTGCAATTGCCATGGCATCAATTGCAAAACAAACCAGCTCTCTAGTACCACCATATCTGGGAATGATACTGACTGCATTGCTGCAAGGCCTGGCTGGAAGAACATGGGCAGGAAAGGTAAAGGAACCATTCATGCCCAGTTAAATTTAAAGGTATCCTTAAAGGTTTATGACTTCATCTTTCATTTTTTATAAAAATAAGATTCTGGTTTTGTGGGACTTAAATGGATTATTTTTGTGAACCAGATTTCCTAGCCAATGGGAAGCTTTGGGTAAACTTTGCCTGATTAAGTATGATATTTTGTCAAAGTGCAACTCGTGTCCTTGAATAATGCACAGTAATGCTGGAGATTGGTTTTTATTTATCATGTTTAACTTTCCAAGTTAAGTCTTAAACCAAATGGCTACCATTTTGTACTTGGTGACCTGATGAATGTATCAGGATTGGGCATACGTGAAATTGAGTAGCAAGTTGCTGCTTCTAAACCTGGAGCTGAGGATGCCCAACTTGGGGGCCTGTAAATTAGTAGCAGTCATTTTTCATACAAGGGCTGTAGTAGGATACTTAAAGTGAACACACAGTAGGGAATGTGACATTGTGGCAGCATATAACGATCTACTTTACGTTGTAAAGGTCAGTAGAGAGACCACGTGGTATTGTTGAAGGAGTACTGGACTAGGAGTCAGACCTAGTTCTAGTCCCATGGCTGACACTTCCTTCTTGGGCAAGTCAGTTCTCCAGGCCTTTATGGAATGGAGATGAAGATGCTTACCCTTATTGCATGATTTGGAGTAAAACTGTGAAAGTGCTTGTTAAACAATAACTCCTGTTAGTTTTTGTTGCCAGAATATTTGAATATTCCTGAGGCAATTGTAGTCATAGAGAAGGTAGATGACATGTGGGGGTTTAATAACAGTCTCTCATCTTTCATCCCCTTAGGAAGAACTGTTGAAAGCCATTGCCTGTGTGGTGACAACTTGCAGGTAAATGTTCTTTCAATGAAGGTACCATATCTTAAACCAAGCCTGAAAGCTGCTGCCTTTATTAACTGTTCTGATACTTTTGTATGGATCCTATAGTGCCGAGCTGGGAAAGTCTGCACCCAATCAGCCCAGCACAAATGAAATTCTCCAGGCTGTTCTGAAGGAGTGTTGCAAGGAGAATATCAAATACAAGATTGTAGCAATCCGCTGTGCAGCTGATGTCCTGAAGGCCACCAAAGAAGACAGATTCCAGGAGTTCTCTGATATTGTTATACCTCTCATCAAGAAGGTAATGACACCTATGTTATCAGGGCTGGTTTATACTTAAAGAAAAATTAAAAAAACAAATTGTTGTGTCCTGATTGCATATTTTATTAAGATTAGTTTAGCTGAAAGTAGAAATTCCAACTATCATAGCCTTAAATAAGGTAGACGTTTGTCTCTTGCATGAAAGTTGGGAGCTTGACAAAGTCTTCAGGAGTTCTGGCTCCTTCCAGCTCCTAACTCTGCCATCCTGAGGGTGTGGCCATGGTCCTCATGGTCTATGCTGCATGTGTGTTCAGGCAGGGGATGGTGGAGGAGATGGAAAAAGGATGAAGGGTCAAAGAGGGCATGTCAGTTCTCTGATATGGAGAGCTCCTGAAAACCGCTACACAGCACGTTCACTTAGATCCCATTGGCCAGAATTTAGTCACAGAGCCACCAGTAGCTGCAGATGAGGCCAGGGAAGGTAGTCTTCACACTGGGTGTCCACTTGCCTTCCATGGCAGAAGGGGAGAACAGATACTGCAGTCAGTGAATAGTCTCTGTCATAGCTACGATAAACTTGTCTTGCGAACATATGCAGGAGCAGCATGTGCTTAGGGAAGCAATCCCAGTCGTGCTGGAATTGAGACAGGGAGCTTAGATGTGTCACTGTTGATCACCGCTGCCATACGCGAACAGAACTTTGGTTTCATTTGAAAAGTGAAGCATTAATTTTTAAAAGTTGGGCGTTAGTTCAAAGAAGTAGGGCATGGTTTATCTTTTTTTTTTGGTGAAACGTGCAGTATTTTAAATAGCATTCTTATTTCTTGTGTTGCTGCTAATTTGCAGTTATTTTCTTCAGAAATAAAACTAAATTTCTGTTATATACTAGTGGTAGAGATGGATTTGAGAGACTTGTGTTTTAAATTACTTATATCTCTAACTGGAGCCCTGGTGGCACAGTAGTTAAGAGCTCGGCTGCTAACCAGAGGGTCAGCACTAACTAGTTGGACAGACCATTTCTCTTAGCCTGTTTCCTTACCTATCAAAAAAAGCTTGGATGAGATCATTACCAGAGCTCCTTCCACCTGAAGCTATGATTCTAGTGCAGGTCTTCTTATGTTGCACTCAAAATACTACATATACAGTATTTATTTATTTTTCTAACCTATGTTTACAGATTTCTTTGAAGGATTTCCTCTGTTCAATAGAGAGGTAGTATTCCTGCTAAAAATCCTTGTTACAAATAGGAAAACTGAGTATGGGCATAAAAGGATTAAATGAGTTGCCGAAAATGAGATGGCAGAGAATTTTGCATCTAATTCTTAGTTAGCATCTCCTGCTCTGGTACCCTGATTACTTTAACAGTATACCTGTAACTTTGGAAGAAGAAAATGTTATATTTTGCTTTTCTCTTCTTTGATATATCCTAGAACTCACCCGAAAGCACCGGAGCCCGGACAATCAAAAATGAAGATGAGAATGAGAAGGAAAAGGAACTCCAGATGGAATCCCTTCTGGGTGCCTTTGAGAGCCTGGGCAAAGCCTGGCCCCGAAACGTGGAGACCCAACGTAAGCACTAGAACCTGCCTTTGAAGAAGGGGTGTAACCGGAGGTTACTTATTGAGAGCACAGGTTTTCTATATGACAAATTATACTTATTGTTTCTTATAGTACCCAATTCATCAATAGTGAAAATTTTATTCATTGTAAATTCTACTCCTACATCAGCAAATAATCTCATTGACCGTTGTCTTAGTTATCTAGTGCTGCTGTAGTAGAGACACTACAAGTGGATGGCTTTAACAAAGAAAAATTTATTCTCTCACAGTGTAGGAGGCTAGAAGTCCGAATTCAGGGTGCCAGCTCCAGGGGAAGGCTTTCTTTCTCCATCGGTTCTGGGGGAAGGTCCTTGTTAATAGTCTTCTCCTGATCTAGGCGCTTCTCAGCTCAGGGACCCTGGGTCCAAAGGACACAGGCTCCTGGCTCTACTTTCTTGGTGGTATGAGGTCCCCATGTCTCTCTGCCCGATTCTTTTATATCTCAAAAGAGATTGGTTAAGACACAACCTGATCTTGTAGATTGAGTCTTGCCTCATTAACATCATAGAGGTAGGATATACAACACATAGGAAAATCAAATCAGATGACAAAATGGAGGACAGTCACACAATACTGGAAATTGTGGCCTAGCCAAATTGACACGTATTTTTGGGGAACACAGTTCAATCCATGACAACCATGATGTATTTTGTGCAGATAATTTGACTGTTAAAAAAAAAAAAAAGTTCTTGTAACTCTTTATGATGCTCTTTTCTGAGGAATTCACAGAATCTATTAGTGGGGTCTCTTAATCTCAGAAGTTAATGACCTTGTTACGAAGTCTTCAATAAGCAAGTGAAATCTCAATTTCATTGAGAAGCTCATGACTTTTTGAGAGATTTTCAGAAATGGACCTGTATTTCCAAAGGCTTAAGTAAGTAAACAGGAAACATTTATTCTTGGATTAGGTTACATTTATTTCAGAATCTTTTGTCAGATTCTTAAATTTGAGATGATGTTACCAATTTAGGGATGCCTTGTGTTGGGTACTGCAGTGCATCCTGCTGGCCATCTCAGTATTCTTGAATGTTATAGGAGTATTGTTGATTATTCGTGATTGGATATGTCTACAATCAGACTTAATTGCCTTTGAGCTCTGTTGCCCATTGTGTGAACTTTAAAAAACAGGTGTGCTATGTATAGGAAGGATTTTCCAAAAGATACAGATTCATAACTGGTCTTATTTCTTGATATTTCAGACTATAGTGGAAGCCCACTTTTTTGACACAATTAGGACTATTAACAGACTACTAACTTTTGCTTGCCAGATTGAGAAAATTAAAGCAAAGAATTATGTAAAAAAACATGATGCATGTGCAAAACAATTTATTTGAACACGAGACATATAAATGTACATTCATTTGCCAGTTGTGGATGGGTAGGTCTAAGGCTTTCCTATGAGAATTTAACTGGATATTGACTAGAGTTGCACATTGGCTTTTCCTGTACATCTGACACATAATGTATCACCTATGATTGCTGTTTTTTGTTTCTTTAAAATGGAGAAAAATTAGCCCCTCATCTTTACATTTACTTGAGCCATACTCAATTTTAAAACTATCACCTTCGTTGGGTTTTATACTCCTGTTTCATCAGCGTATTAAATTACATAATTATAATAGCAAGTGCAGTTGACATACAAATTTAGGATAAAGCACTGTTGACTCTTGGTAAGTCTGTAACTTGTAGAAGTTTGTGAGAGTCTAGAGAGGAGCTCTCAGCCTCTATGGTTCTGCTTGCTTTGGCCATCATTCAGGGTGTTTTACAGAGGAAAGGGAGTGTGGTTAAGGTGCTGTGTCAGTTTTGTGGAGGGTAGTAATCCTTTGAAAGTGAATGTTTATGAAAAGTTGCATAGATTTCTGATCAAGGAAATCTGTTTGGGAAAGGGCACAAAATTATGCCGAAGTTTTTTTTTGGAAATGTCATGACTTTAATTGAAAGCATTTTGTTGTTTTATTTTTCTTTCTGTCTCTCCTCTCCTTCTCTCCCTCTTTTTACCCTCCCCGCACTGTCTCTCCGTTTCTGTTCCTCTCTCTCTCTCTTGTTCTGTCTGTCTCTTGCTTGTTCTGTCCTACTGTCTTTTTTCCCAGGTTGCTATCGTCAGGAGCTGTGCAAACTGATGTGTGAGCGGCTAAAACTCAGCACATGGAAAGTGCAGCTGGGAGTCTTACAGTCAATGAGTGCCTTTTTTCAGGGGTAATTTGCTTCATGGTTCAGATATTTATTTTATCGACATTTTATATGTAATCAGTGGAAATCTTACAAACTTCAAAACTAGTAGCTAACAAAGTAATACACAATATAGAAATCGGTTGTGCCAAAAAGGTTTTGGAATGTTTCTTTATATCTAGCATTTGTATCTTGCTTTTTGATTTGTATAGATTAATGCTTTTGGAAGAAGAACATGCCGAACCTGAGGCTTTGGCTGAAATTCTCCTTGAAACTTGTAAATCAATCACATATTCTTTAGGTGAGTGTGTAAAACTGAAATTGGTAAGGAGTCCTGTTTTGAAAGCTCAAGATGCTGAGCTTCAGATGCTCTCCTTTGTCCCAGGAACTAAATTTATGGAGCAAGCACTAAACTGTCCTACTTAATATATTTCACGTCTACTCCAAAACTGGAATATTTTAATCTGGAACTACAATTTAGGATTTTGGTACCTAGATTAGAAAAGCCTTTATGACAAGTGTTTTTCTTTTCTTTTTTTTTTAACTTTTATTTGGAAATAATTTCACACATACAGAAACATTTTAGGAATGGTACATATACTATCTGTATGCCCTTTACTTAAAGTCATCTGTTAACATTTTGTCCCATTTGCTTTATCATTTGCACTTTATACGTATTTTTTTCTGAACTGTTTGAAAGTATGTTACTTATGTCATGTCCCTTTGCTCCTAAATTCTTTGTTGTATATATTCTTTTACACAACCACAGAGCAGTTATCACCTTTAGGTAGTATAACATCGATACAATATTTCTAATCAGATTTTTACCATTCATACTCCAGTTCTGGCATTGACTCAATAACGTCCTTTGAAGGATTTTTCCCTCTCTCTGCAAATTGATCTAGCCCAGGATCATTTATTGAATTAAGTTGACCTGCGTTTTTAGCCTATTTTAACCTGGAACACTTCCTCAGCCTTTTTTTGTCTTATAGGACACCGACAGTTTTGAAGAATAACCCCTCCCCTTTTTAAAATAGCGTGTGTCTCATTTGGTGTTTGTTTGATGCTTCTTCATGGTAACATCCAGGTTCTGAATTCCCAGTTGAGATACTACATAAGTGAAATTGTGTCCTTCTCACACGAAGAGTCACATGGTGTCCATCTGTCCTCATTGGTGATGTTAGCTTTGGTTACATGGTCAAAGTATTGCTCAGTTTTTTTCTACTGTGTAGTTAGTATTTTTTTCCCCTTGTGTCTAAAAAGCAGTCTGTGTGGACACACTTTAAAACTATGCAGATACCTTCCGCCTCTTCAGAATTTCCTCTCTAGATTTAGCACGCATTGATAATTCTTCCTTGAACCAATCTTTATCGAGATGGCTGCACAGTGATGGTTTTCCAACTCTAGCACTTCCTCCACATTTACCATTTGACCCTTGGCATTCTCTTGCAAGCAAGATTCCTGTCTTCTCCCCTGTTCTTACTTTCTTTATTATAGGTGTGGACTCATGGATTCCTTTTTCTCCTTAATGGTTTATAATTGATTATTTCCCTCAATTAATTTGTTGCTCAAATTTTCCAAGAATTGACCAGTAGAAGCTTTTTAAGCTGGCTCTTGTGTCCCTTTGGCAAACTATCATCATTCTTTTAAGCCCTTCTGTACTTTGTTGCATAATGAGATGTTATAGACTCATCTGTGCCTTCCCTGCCCTGGACCTGGTTTTGTGTTAATTTTTTGGATGAACGATTTCAGTGAACTAGATATCATGTCTAGAGTAGACACCAAGGGAGCATATTTCAGTTACAATGCTAATGGATAAAGAACTGGAAGCTAAGAAACTTGTCTTTGCTGGATCTGAAGTGTCCTGAGCTGGTCTAAGCACTGTGTTGTGTAATGTTCTTTGGTAAAATGCACAACTAAAGACCTTTTCTTAGGTATGATGTGAAGATGACTGTGTGTTTGAGATAGTGTTTCTATCTCCCTCCCACTTCTAAAATGGGTCTTCTAAATATGTTATTTGTTGTGGTGACTGTTACATATGGTTGACTTTTTTTTTTTTCCTAAGTAAGGAATGTAGACATGTAGCATGTTTCAAGGTTCTATTTTATGATAATTAGCAAAGGGAAGCTTTCTTTAAAAAATGGGTATAATAATTTCTGAGCATCTTTTAGAACGTTAATTTGGGAGGTTCTGTTTTTAACTAATATAAAACAAAGAATGTGAACTATATGATTTTCTTTTTAGAAAATAAGACCTATTCATCTGTGAGAACAGAAGCTTTATCTGTGATAGAATTACTGCTTAAAAAACTTGAAGGTGAGTTCTTGATCATTCTGACTGGAGGACCAGAAAGCCAGAATACTTTTAGGGCATATGTGTTAGGAATTTTTTGTTTTGGCTTTTAATACATATACACTTTAAAAATACAAGTTAATATATATGCATGAGTATCAATAAGAGGAATGTACAAAATTAAAACTTTAAATTTTATTAACTGTTAAATTTGGTACTCTTTTAATTTATATACTTTTAATGTAATATTAAGCTATAGTTACCGCAAATGGTAAAATTTTTGTTTCCATTATGAATCCTGATTTAATCTTGGTTACTTAGAGGAAGTGGCTGACAGTGGTGCACTAGGGATCACTGTATATGTGTGAATCAACAGAATGACACACTGAAAAGTAGAGGTGGAAACACATTCTACCTGAGTTGGCAAATTTGATAGTAGCAATTCGATTAACCCTATTTTTTTTTTTTCTTTTTTTAGTTTTTTAACCTTCTTATCAAGAAGCAGGTTTCTTTTAATGGTCTGTTGTGTCAGTAAAAGAAAACGGCTAGCATTTTATCTAATGGTATCTGTATTACTGCTTTCAAAAGGAGGACTCTTTTATTTTTTCTTTTCTCTCTTACTGTTTTAAATGAATGGATTGAGAATGGGGAGGATGGGAGAGTTTTCTCCCAGACTGTGCATTTGCTCTGTTTCTCTGGCTTTGCTTAGCAATTAAAGCTCCTGTCTCAGGGCTCCATAAAACAGGCTTTTTAGACTCAGTAACACTAGACATCTCATAATCCCTTTTTTCCTCTTGTTGAAATAAAAGAGGTAAGCACTTAGTTATATCACCGAATTCTCAGAGTTTACCAGGTACATTCCAGTATATTTCAGATGAGGAAAATGAGGCTAAAATAGGTTAAATAACTCGCTTTTAGCCACTTTGCTAGAAAGTGGCAGAGCCTTGTCAACAAGGTTTAGTATCTGATGCATTTTCTCACTTTCTAAAATTTTCAGTATGTATATAGTTCTCTGATACTTTTTTTAAAGAAAGGAGTAGTAAAATGTCATCTGTTTAAACTGACTTTATGCTTATATAAGTATATTCAAGGTTTTTTTTTTTAACTGAGCATGTCTTATAAAGAGGCCTTTTTATTGTTGTTAAGATGGGTTTTTTGCTTAATATGTCCCCACTGTGGTTCATAGTAGCTCATTTCTCTGTTGAGCCTATACTGGGGAAGGCCGTGAAACTCTGGTATGTTTTAAGGTTATTGTCAATAATTAGGTTTTGAGACAACTATTGAATCTGTGATCATTACATACTGAACTATTACCAGAGCATGACCTTGTATCTATTTTGGGCATAGAGTGTATGGAGGAAGAGTAGAAAGAATAATTTTAATTTTTTTTTCTTGCTTGTTCTATAAGGATTCTTTGGTTTTTCTTTTTCTCTTTCCATTCAGAATCAAAACAGTGGGAAAGTTTGACATCTGAATGCCGAGCGCTCCTGATTGAGTCTTTAGCCACTATGGAGTCAGATAGCAGACCTGAACTGCAGGAGAAAGCATCATTACTGAAGAAGACACTTGAAAATCTGGAATAAATTAGAAGGGGAAGAAGTAAACAAGTGCCATGTTTATTGGGAGTTGAAATGGTGGTATTCTTTGAAAAACTAAGTGGGGAAAAATAAAGAGTAATCTGTAGCATGCATCATTTCTTGGCTGAAATAATAAAAAAAAAAAAATGCCTTAAATTTTGTTCCCTATTAGCTTTATTTTACGTGATGTTTTTAAAGTATCTGGGCTGAATGAGCTTATTGGAACCTTGGATGTTTGAGAGGTGGTTGTAGATGAAACTGGCAGAACTAGTTGTTATTAAAGGAATATTATTAAATCATTTAATGGACAAAGTTGCAGAGCAAGCTGGGTAAGAATCTCAGAACTGCATCTAAATTAAAGTTATTTTAGGAAGGGTCCCTATAAATCACTTAGTTTAAACCCTACTCCCCCCCTTTTTAAAAATAACATTGTGTTTTCAGTGAAAGTTTACACAGCAGTTTAGGTTCCATTCAACAATTTCTGCACAGGTTGTTCAGTGACATTGACTACATTCTTCACAATGTGTCAACATTCTCATTTCAGTTCTAGTTGTTCGTTTCCATTAATCTGGTTTCCCTGCCCCCTAAATGTTTTACACCAGAAGAATTAGCCTATGAGATGGCATCCCTTCTTTCTGAGGTCTTGCCAAGTCAGAACCCAGGTTTTTGTCCCGCCCGGTATACTTTTTTTACTTTTTTTTTTTACAACCTGTTGCCATCTCAGTACTAAGTCTGGCCTACTCAAGAAACTCCTGAGCTGAGGTGTATTTGCCGGGGGGGGGGAAATACAATAATCCTTGTACCAGAATTAAACTGACCTATTACCTAAGCACCACTGGGTTTTTGAAAGTCAAAGTCTGGACATTGTTTTGTTATTTGTTTAGATGACTGATTTTTAGAAGATGACTATTCAGCGTCTTTATAGATTGACAGTTCAGTCTCCATTTGATAAGTTCTGATGGTCCTCTTTTATAGACAGATGAAAGATTAGGACAAAATTGCTCATTCAGGTTGCCTATTTTGTGAAAACACCAACACCAACAACCACAACAAAATTGCAGACTGTCTTGGTTTAAACCATTTATAATCTCAAAACTGTACGGCCAACTTAAAATTTTCTGCCAACTTTTAAGCTAACAGTGTCACTCGATAGAGTAGAAAAGAAAGCATTTTAATTAGCAACCTGGGAAATTTTTTTTTTCTTTTTGTTAATGCCTTTTCTCAAAATAACGTACCACTCCAAGTAAAGAATTGCAGCTAGGATTTCTTCCCTTACTTTTCCTACTGTACACGCCCTTGCCCAAGGGCATAGAGTAAAAGGCAAAAGCAAGTTTAACTTAAGTGTTTATGGTAAACGGAGCACTCTTTAGCTTGCGTTGGGATTCTAGAACACAAGATGGTTTTACATTCAACCTTTATTAACATTAACACCAGGATGGAAACTCCATGTTTATTATTTGTGGTCATTTCCATTGAACAGTTGTATTTCATGTTTTTGACAGTGACCTATAGTTAAACAAACAAAACTAGCTTTTTATTTACATCATGGCCCAGAACATGTAAGAGAAATAAATCTTTAACTGAAATGTTTCGTGAAATAATACATACGCTTACCATCTACGTGTGATGCATTTCTCTCTCTCACTTGTATTAAATGCTGTCCAGACCCTCTGAATTCTTTCCCTGACACAACTGGGTTGCTACTCAAGTTTGAAAAACACGTGTAGACAGTACTTAAGCTTGACTATATATTGATATGTTTTTAGGTTGCTTCTGATTGGAAGGAAACCTTGGGGGCGCAGTGGTTAAGAGAACGGCTGCTAACCAAAAGGTCGGAGATCAGATCCACCAGGCGCTCCTTTTAAACCCTATGGGGCAGTTCTACTCTGTCCTGTAGGGTGGCTATGAGTCAGAATTGACTCGACAGCAGCGGGATTGGTTTTTTGGTTTTCTGATTGGAAAAGGGATTTACAAATGAAAATTTAAGTGTAGTAGGTGCTTATTACCAAAAACATCCTCTTGGCTGATGCTGAAATAGTGAGTTTTAGTAGCATTGTGAATTTTAAGGAATCTATCATGGACTTTCACTTGAGAATGACTTTTGATTGGGAGAAGGTCAACTTTAGATGTTTTTCAGGAAGCTTATGGCCTCACAGGACTTGGTTTTTTCCAGCTCAGCATTTTCCCCCTCCATTAAGTGCCCTCTAACTTCATTTATAGTACCTGGGATACATTTTCTACCCAAGAATGCAATGTCAGTCAGGCATTTTAGAAAGTAAAGAGTATAAGGACAAGAATTGTGCTCTCGGCCCACATCAAATATTAAACCTCATCAAATTTTATGCTTTTCAAACTTTTTTATTATTTAATATTGGGGATTTCCCCTGGTGCTGAATGGTGCTGAGACACCTGAACCTTAGTGCTCTGTGCTGTTCAATTACATTTATTTTAGCTTTCCAAGCATATTTCTGATTTGTGCACTTAATGCCTTCATCTTGACCAGCCAAATCATTTGCACATCTAATAAGGCTGAATCATTGCCTCCCAATGCAGCGTGTGTACTTGGTTTGCATGTGTGCACACATTTATAAAATGTGCACACTTTATAAAAGGGTTTGTAACTGAGAGCTGGTAATTGTGGAATGCTGATACTGGCGAATAAAAGATAAAAGGACCCATGCATGTTTATATCTTAGGCCTTTATTTTCCAGAGCTATCTAGAATACATCTTATTTTCTCCCTAGAAATATTCAGTGCTATTCTTCATACAAGCAACTAATTTAGAGGGTCTAATTACTGAATTCCTTATTCCTAAGGATTAGTGCACTAGGTACATCTTCACAAATTTATATATATGTGAAAACGAGGTGCCTGAAGTTTGGCAATTGGAAATCAGAACGATTAAAATAAGCTGCCCTTTTCGTGATAAAGAACAGCAAACTCTGATATTTGTAACCAATTCCCAGTGTGTATGCAGTAATGCAGTCCACCTGCACAGCAAAACTGACTGTCCCTCTTTCCCGTTGTTTTCCCCTTCCATCTTTTACTTGTGTGCTTACTAACAAGAAAAAGAACAGAAAAAAGATGTGAGCTTGGTCTGTGCTCTGGTAATCTTTGCGCTGTGTGGACAGTCTCTGCCCTTTGTGGGGCGTTTCTACCTGCTGCTGCCACAATATCGTCATGCTGCTTGTTAAAAACAACGGGTTATTTTGTCATTGTAATGTACAAACTATTGTTAAATGAATGTATATGTAACAGATTTTGGATTTTATATGCAAAGTCTTCATAGAATCCTTTGCAATATGTACTCAACTAGCTAAGCATGTGATAGTCTTACTTGAAAGGAAAAATCCTACCCATGCCCAAGAAGATATTAAATGGTAAATAAAAGCTGCATGATCTGTCCTTCTGAAGTAATGGATTAATTTTTACTGAGTCTCTTGCAAAATGGTTCAACTTCTAAGGCACTGACTAGTTACATTTAAAAAAAACCTTGCTGCCACATTCTGAGCTAACTAGCAAGTAGAAATCGCTAGTTTAAGTGCCTGAGAGTTCCAAGGCAAAGCAGAAAGGCAAGGCACCTGAATGACTGACTGACTGCTGTAGGTGCTTGGAGAAAAGTTATCATTGAAAGATTTGATTTTCATATAAAATCAATCCCATTATGACCATATAGAAACAAGAGGCAGTTCTTGTGACCGAGATTAATATACATGATGGGGAACATAAAAGGTCAGACGTAAGGCATATCCCGTATTGTAAACTGCCCAACAAATTAGGCTGTGGAAGATAGGCTTGGAGGTGAGAATTCTTAGCATGCCCATTGGTTCCAGGTTAATTGATTAGAATAACAATTTAGTTTAAAAAATAAAAAGTGGAAATAACGTTTCAAACAATCAATTGGAAATTTTAGATTTTTCTTTACCATAAAAATATGTTCCTTCTATATTTAAGCAGCATTGATAAAGTCTTCATTAAAAAAATATAAAGAACAGTGAGGAAACAAGTAATGGTTTAAGGACCATCTAATTTTTGTTTGTATTCTGAAAAGAGTATTTTAAAATCATTTTTGGGTATTAGTGGTTAGACACATAACTCTTATTCTACTTTTGAAACAGTCTTTAAATGCAGAATCCTTTCTGAATGAACATCAGTTAAGGCAAATCATTTTTGAGGATTTCTTTTGTCTGAGCACTATAAAAATGTTTCACTGTTCCTGGCCTCCAGAGTTTCTGATAAAAGATTGAATTATTTCCCTGGATGTGGTATGTTATTTTTCTCTGGCTCCTTTTGTTGTTTTCCCTGTTTTGGGATTTCAGCATTTTGACTATGTTGTGCCTAGGTGTGCTTTTCTTTGTATTTATCCTGTTTGAAGATGGCTTAGATTCTTGAGTTTGTGAATTTATGTGTTTCAACCAGGGCTTCGAACCGGTTCATTCTGATTTGAACCCCTGCTGAGAATTTGCATTTCCATCCCAGATATACTGAATCAGAATCTACATTTTAACAAGATCCCCAGGTGTTTCTTATGTATAATAACTCTTGAGAACCACTGCTGTACTAGTGGTTCTCAGAATTGGTCCCTAACCAGAAACATTAGCATCACCTAGAAACTTGTTAGAAATGCAAATTCTAACCTGAACGAACCGGTTCAAAGACCTTGTTTCAACAAATTTGTGATGTTTTGGCCATTATTTCCTGACATTTTTTTCTGCTACATTCCCCTCTTTGAAACTCTGATTACACCTATGTTAGACCTTTTGATATTGTTCTACATGTTTCTGAGTCTCTGTTCATTTTTGAAAATATTTTTTTCTCTTAGGATAATTTCTATTGATCTACCCGTAAGTTCACTGACTGCTTTTGTCAGGTCCATTCTGATATTAAAGCCCACCGAGCGAGTTTTTATATAAGATATTGTAATTTTCAGTTCTAAATATTCCATTTGGTTTCCTTCAATATTTATTTTTCACTTTTCTGCTAATATTTCCAATCTTTTTTTAAGACAGTTTTTGGTTGTTA